ACCAGCCCGACGGCGGATGTTTCCTGGACTCAGGGCATGAGCAGTCGTCATAAAGTTAATCAGCCGTGTAAAGACCTAACTAGAGAGTGGCAGCCACTTGCAGTGTCCGGCTAATTGGCTCTTGATGTGGAGAGGGGTGGCGACATTAAACAGGCACTCAGATCCGGGCTGCGGTGCTGCCCAGGCACAGCCACGGGGGGTCCTTCAGCTGCACGACAGAGGGGGCCATCTGGGCAGTCAGCCTCACGACCTGAGGGTCCCTGAGCAGCGTCCACGAGAGGAAATGGAGGAAGCATCGCATCTGGCCCTCCTGTGACAGCCTGGGGAAGGGGGCAGAGAGCCAGCCCTCGTGTGACAGCCTGTGGGAGGGGGCAGAGAGCAAGGTTTTCCAAGGTCACTGATGGCTAAGAGGTAGGAAGCAGCGCTGTGTCTTTTAACCCTGAGCCCACGCAGGCTCTGTCTCCAAAAGCACACTTTTTTCTCTAGGTTAAAGGCGGTACCTGCTCATTGCAAGTTAAGAAAACCTGGGGGTCCGCTAATTGGGCGCTTCATGGAAAGGGAACAGAGGCATGCGCGGATGAAATCAAAGTGGCCATAAGGCCACCATTTAGGCTCTTTGTGTGTGTATATTTTCATGTGCTTCCTTCCTAATTCTTGCTTTTTGAGCACACATCATATACTCAGATGAGCGTATTCCAGACCCAAACTCACAAACAGCCTGCTCGCAACTCTGCATCCTACGTTTTTGGGTCTCTTTCTCCACTTAAAGAGGACAGCATTTCCCTACCTCTCCCTTCCCCACTGGGACATCTCAGAGCATGGCTAGGGCACCACCGGCAGTAGACTCAGAGGCTCCCTTGCCTCGCCCCAGCCCTGTGGAATTGTCCTCTGCGTCGTGTTGAACCTGCTCGCACGTGGTTTAGATGTGCTGTGAGTTTGGGGAAGCTTTGCCCTTGCGGTGGCTCTCAGCCGGGCTCTGGACTTCACTTCTGAACCCAAGCTCAACGGGGTCCATCAACAAGAAGGCTACAGTTAAGCACCTCAACTCCCCCTTGCCGGGTGATTGACAGGCAGTGGGGGTGGGAGCCACTCCTGTATGCACACAGAGGATGTGACAGTGTGGGTTTGCAAGGGGTGGACAAAGCCACAGCCCTGATTGTCCAGGAAGAGACAGAAGCCCTCATGAAGTTTCCTTAACAAAGCATGCTACAGAATTTATACATGGATCACGTCGTCCACGCTCTCTTCTGGGCCCCCCTGGCAAAGGCTGGTGTGAGACAGGAGGCTGTGGGGACTTCGTGGAAAACAAAGAGAACAGGAGCAGGTAACAGGGTCTGCGTGAGCCACACAAGGCTCTCACCCTCTCTGTGCCTTGGGACGCCTGACGTAGAACAAGAGAAGCAAAATCGATTTTCTGGTTAGCACAGCAGAGAAGGAGAAAAGATGTGGGTGCAGGACGGCACAAGAGAAAGGCCACCATGACCATTTACCCTCCCCTGCGTCCACGAGCCCACCTCACGGCCCCGTAATATTGCAGATTATTCTGTGGCCTTGAATGGCATCTTGACAGTTGTCTGCTCTAGTCAACTTTAAACTTCTCAAACCCTGGTGCCAACTTTCCGCAGGAAAACTGATTCATCAGCCTGAACAAACAGAACACCAGGACAGACGCGTTCTGGATGGGATGCCGGCCACAGTGGGCAGCCCTTGAACTGACCTCGTGCACCCCCGGAGTGCCGGGGAGCGCCGTTTGGTTACCACAGACATAGCCGGATGTCTCCAGATGAGAATCCAAAGCCCAGAGAAGCAGAAACCGTGGCTAAACTCTGGATTTTTCAACCCCATGTTGTGCGTTTTTAGGGAAACAGGGTGAGCAGTGGCTGTTGGGTATTTTGTCCCAACACAGGGGGGTGAGAGGGGAATGATCAGAACCAACTAAGTGAGCATGCCCGTGCAACTTGGGACCGGCCGGTGCTGGAGGTCCCTGCGTGAGGAAAAGGCGGGGCATGGAGCCAGCTGGAGATTGGACTGCTCATGGACCCCCTGGCTCTGCTGAGCACATGGCTAAGTGTGCAGCAGTGAAGAGCCGGGGCCTGGGGTCATCACCTGCTCTGAATCCTGGCTCTCACTTCTTAGCTGTGTGACTTGGGTAAATCACATAACCTTTCTGATGCTCCTCTCTGCTCGTTTAGTAACTGGGAATAAGAATACAGACACTGCTCAGTGTACAATGCTACATCCCACTAAGCCCATCTTAAGTCAAGAACGCATCAGATCCACCTGACCTGCTGAACACCAGGCTTAGCAACACAGCACACGGCAGAGTGTGGCTGCTCCCCCTTGTGACCGGGGCCTGGCTGGGGGTTGCAGCCTCTGCTGCTACCCAGCATTACAAGTGACGCCGCCACATATTGCTAGCCCAGGAAAAGACCTCAAATGCACCATTCACGTTGTTGTTTCAATTGAGTACGGATGGCTTTCATACCCTCATAAAGCTGAAACATCGTAAGTCAAAACTGGGGACCGTCTGTTGTCCTTTGTTGCCAGTGTGGTTGGAAGAATTCATTTAGAAAGTCAACATGGAGCGCTCAGCCCTGCGTCTGACACAGAGTGAGTGCTCCGTCAACACCAGCTAATGCTGGGAGTTCCGAGGCCACAGACTGCAGGGGCTGCTGGTCCCTGCCTCCTGCCAGCATCCTGTAGGAATAATTTCTAGGGAAGGAGACACAGGCAGGCTGGAGGCAGTGGAGAAGGACACGCTGCCTTCAGCCCTGCCCTCCGGCTTCCTGAAGCCGTTCTGCCCAATCTGGGTCACAGCGGAGGCTCCGGAGCCTACAGGCTGCTTTTGGCTCGTCCCTTGGCACAGCGGCTCCTCTGCTGAATGGCACACAAAGGGAGGAGCTGCTATTTATAGAATGCAAGCCAGAGCATGGGCAGGGATGGCAGGGGTGAGGGGGCCTCTGGGGAGAGTCGGGGTCAGCTGGCTGCCAGGCAGGGATGCCAGGGCCCCTCTGGACAACCCTCACCTCGGTTGTCTCACCCCTGCTGTGCACAGTAGGTCCGAGCCCATGGCAAGGGTGGGGATGGAGGCGAGCAGAGTCTGGCTCCATCTGGGTCCACTTGCTAAAGTCCCCATCTGATGGAAGGACAGTGACTTCACGCTGGTGGCAAGTGACCAAAACTAACAAAACCATCTGAGATCAAAGCAGTACGGCCCGCAGGTGCCATGGTTACACCACCTGTGGTCCAGGTTGTAGCCAGGGACCAGCTGCCTCATGCGGCATCACCTGGGAGTTTTCTAGAGATGCAGACGCTGAGAACACCACCCCCCTAAGATCTGACATTTCAGAATCTGCATTTTAGCAGGATCCCCGTGACATTCATGTGCACATTGAAGAAGCACTAGGGTCATGCATGTGAAACTTGGGTTCTTGTTTTGATGCTGCACTTGCCAGCTGTGTGGCTTTAACTTTCCTGTGCCTCGCTTCTCTCACTGTCAAATGGCTAAATAGTACCTAACTCCTCGGGTTGGGTGGCAGAGAGCTGCAGGCCATGTCAGTCTTGTAAGAAGTGCTAATCCAAGTGTGAGCTTTGGCTGTTCACAGGTGCGGGGGAGTTAGTGCCCCCATTCATTCATTCACTGATTCAAGCATCATGCATGGTTGCCCCTGCACACTGATCAGGCACTGAGAACAGAGCAGGGGGCAGGAGAGACAAGGCCCCTGGGAATCCGAGTCCAGAGAGGAGGGGAGCCAGGGATCATTTCCCAATCAGCTAATGACTTAGTGAAGATAATCTCACAGTTACCGACAAGTGCTATGGGGAGCAGGCTCCTCTTAGAGTAAATACGATAGGTGGTCAGAGAAAACTTCTGAGAATATATAACTGGAATCTAAAGGCTGAGGGGAAGCTGGACAGAGGAAGTAAGACGTGGATGTGTACACATGTGTGTGTGCACATATACCAGAGAGCATGATTGCATGTGTGTGTGGATGGATGCATTCGAGGTACAGAATGTGCAAAAATATTGAGGCAGACCAAGACCTTTTGCCGTTGGTTCACCCTCCAATGGCCGCCATGGCCGGCGCGCTGCGGCTAGAAAAAAGCACCGTGCTGATCCGAAGGCAGGAGCCAGGTGCTTCTCCTGGTCTCCCATGGGGTGCAGGGCCCAAGCACTTGGGCCATCCTCCACTGCCTTCCCGGACCACAGCAGAGAGCTGGCCTGGAAGAGGGGCAACCGGGAAAGAATCTGGCGCCCCGACCGGGACTAGAACCTGGTGTGCCGGCGCCACTAGGTGGAGGATTAGCCTATTGAGCCACGGCGCCGGCCACATTTGTGTTTTGAAAAGATCTCTGTGGCTGTGCTGGGGAGAACAGGTGGTAGAAGGGTGTGGGTGAATGCAGGGGGCCTATTACAAGGTTGCTGGGGTCATCCAGAGTAGAAATGGCGGTGGTGTTGTTGAGGCAATGTTGGAGAGAAGTGAATGGATTCCAGAAATGTATGGGAGGTGGATATAATGGGTTGTGGTGTTCTGCTTGGGTCACTGAATGTCAGGGGTTGGGGCAGGCCAAGGAAAGCCACCACGTTTGTGCTTTGAGCAAGTTAGTAGACGGTCATGCCGGTTCCTGAGAATGGGAGCAGGTCTGCTGGGGGTGGCAGTGGAGATCATTGAAGTCATACATGTTTGATGCCATCCAGTGAGGGATCATGTAGACAGACAGATCTGGGACTGAGAAGGCAGGTTCCCTGGGGGACATGACACGCGATGGAAAAGACCAGATAAAATTCCTAATCCGAAGTCAGTAGAGTGGATGGACTTTGAGGGGCATGGGAGTGGGTCTTAGATGCTGCAAGACTCTATCCAGATGGTCTGTGTATGTGCCTTTGGGGAAGATCCCTAGTACCATTCAATGACCGAGGGTCTGGGGCGCCCATCTGCCTGACTGTGCTGGTGGTCCCCAGCCCCACAAGGTCTCTGATACCCTGCCTCTGCTTCCAGGCGCCTGGTGGACCGCCTGGAGAACATGAAGAAGAGCGTGGCTGGGGATGGGGTGAACCGCTGCATTCTGTGTGGGGAGCAGCTGGGCGTGCTGGGCTCGGCCTGTGTCGTGTGTGAGGACTGTAAGAAGGTACAGCACCCCTCCCCCTCTTCCCAGCTAAGCACCTGCGCAGGGCTGGGCCCTGGGCGCTGGGGATGGAGCTTGGATTTGGAAGGGTATTTGCTAGGATATGATTTCTTCTGGGATGCTCCCACGTCCAGCTGGCTTCCAAGGCAACCCTGACCCTGGTTTCTCCCCTGGAAGTCACTCTGACTTGGGTCTGTCCCCCTAGACCTGAGCTCCACTCAGGATGAAATTGGGAGCCCAAGGTAGGACCTCATCTGTAGTTGAACCTGAGAGTGTCCTGGTGTATATACATGGGTGTGCACGGAGCACTTTCAGCATTTCTGGCCCTGGGTTATGATTCAAAACCCTCGGAAAGCCTCTTAGCAGCCAAGCTAGAAGCATTCGGCTTTGAGAGCATCCGTGCTTGAGGGGAGTCTCCGCATGCTGTCTCTGCCCTCCGCTCCCTCCCTAAGCTGTCTGCACCTAACAGTTCCAGGGAAGAGCTACAACAACGATCGTGTCTGCCTGATTCCAAGGAAAGGAATTCAGGTCATCAAGCCAGCTGGATACATCCAGAATGTCACTCTGCATCTCCTGCTTGGCGTCCCACTTAGCGTTTGGAATGGGTTACTGGGGAAAATTTATATTTTCTGAATAACTTGTCTGCTAAAGTCAACCGTATAGTGAGAATTGGGTTCTATTTGTCTTGACTGCCAGGAAACTCAGCCAAAAACACAATGTTCCACCACATCGTCACGGTATTTACCAAAGTGATTTCCTTATCCTTGGTGACTTGGATTTCTAGTCACAGTCAAAAATTGTTTTGGATCATTCAGGAAGAGAAAGAAGAAGTAAATTAACAAGCAGAATGGATATATTGCCTTTCTATTTTTTTTTAAAGGTCAGTGATCTCTTTATGTGGACACTGAAAATTCAGACCCAACAAGGACTCTCGGAAGGGTCCTTCGTCCTGTTCTTGGGAATAACTCTAGTTCTTATTACTGGAAATGTGACTCAACCTGACACTTCATTCTCCCTGGACTACCTTGTGTAATAGAGTGAGGACATCCACCAAGAGAGAAGGGGTCCCATTGCCAGCCCTCCCAGCCCCCTTTCTCAACCCCTGGAAGCTCAGAGCAGGGCTCATCTGAGTGCCTGTTCGGCTGTGTTTTTGTCCTCAGAATGTCTGCACCAAATGTGGGGTAGAGACCTCCAACAACCGCCCGCATCCTGTGTGGCTCTGTAAAATCTGCATCGAGCAGAGAGAGGTGAGTGGCCTGGTCCCGTCTGGCTCCCACATCACCCTCTCTTCTCTGCCATCTCCTCCTTCTGCCTGGAATCAGGGAATCCAGGTGGCACTTGGAGGCTGGGAGTCCTGCTTGGTCTTGGGCAAGGAGGCAGCTTAGCTGTGGCCACAGCAGAAGGACCTATGGGTTGGGATGATTGCTCTCACCCTGTGTCTGGGGCCTCTCTCTTCCTTCTCAGTTTGTTGCCCTTTGGTTTCCATTCTCCCCTTGTCCTCACGTCTCACTTTCTAGGTCTTCCTCTCCCACCATCTTTCTCTTTCCCTCTGTTCCACTTCCTGTCTCCATTTTTTTTTATTTTTTGACAGGCAGAGTGGACAGTGAGAGGGAGAGAGAGACAGAGAGAAAGGTCTTCCTTTGCTGTTGGTTCACCCTCCAGTGGCCACCGCGGCTGGCGCGCTGTGGCTGGCGCACCGCGCTGATCCGATGGCAGGAGCCAGGTACTTATCCTGGTCTCCCCAAGGGGGTGGCAGGGCCCCAAGCACTTGGGGCCATCCTCCCACTGCAGTCCCCTGGCCACAGCAGAAGAGCTTGGCCTGGAAGAGGGGGCAAGCGGGAACAGAAATCTAGCGCCCCCAACTTGGGACTAGGAACCCCGGGGTGCCGGTACCGCAAGGTGGAGGATTAGCCTAGTGAGCCGCGGTGCTGGCCGCCTGTCTCCATTTTTCCTTCCCTCGTCCTCTCCCGCTTGCCTGAGTTCTTCTCTTTCCCTCAGCCTCACTGCCTTCCCTCCCCTCCTCTTCTTTGTCTCCCCCTCCTCACACTTTTCTCTGCACTGTTCTCTTTACTTTCTCTCCGTCTCTTTCTCCCCTGAACCCTTCTCTTCCCCTGCCCTGTTTCCTGTTACTCACTGAGCTCAGCGAGGTCTTGTCTTCTCCCAGTTCCTCCATCACTCACCCCTGCCATTCAGACTGCGCCAGGATGCCCATGTCCTCCTGTGTATCAGTCAGGGCCCCAGCAGGAAGTCATTGGCAGGTTCCAGCAGGGTAGCTGCTTCCAAATGTCTAGGCAGGGTTAAGGGAAATCTGCAGTAGAGTGAGAGGTGCTTCGGCACCAGCAGCAACACCGTTGCTTTCAGCAACCTTACGACTGAAGACATGGAGTGAAGAAGCTACTAGACCGGAAGACAGGTGTAGCCTAACAGGAATATCTACAGGGATGGCCAACTCAAAGGGAGGGAGCCAAGGGAACACTCCATCCTGCCTCTCCTGCTTGGCTCCAGACTTCTGCGGGGACTCTCCCCCTGGGGCACAGAGCAGGCTGGAATACAGAGGAGAGTGGGTCTGAGGGGCAATGGAAGATGTTCAGCAAAGCATCCGATGTCCTAACCCTATCCTGACCCACTGGGCCAAGAAAAAGGCTGGAGATCTTGGAGAAGGTGTGGATTGTTTACCCTCTACAAAAAGTGCCGTGGAGCACTAAGACTTGGTGTTGAGTCCTTGTGCTTCCACTGTCTGGCCATGTGCTGTTGGGCCAGTCCTTAGCATTCCTGAAGTGCAACTTTCTCATATTGATAGCATGGGTATACTCAAACCCTTCCTATTGTGTTTTCAGGGCTGATGCGTGGAAAGAATAGGAATCATGAAAGTCTGTACACTGATAAGAAAAGTGTACTGGCTATTATGTCCACGTGCAGGGCACAGGGAGCAAAGGCTACAGGTGCAAGTATGAGGCTAGAGCAATAGTGCTTGGCTGCCGTGTCTTCAGCCCTGCTTCTCCTCCTCAGGTATGGAAGCGTTCTGGAGCGTGGTTCTTCAAAGGCTTCCCCAAACAGGTCCTCCCACAGCCTATGCCTATAAAGAAGACCAAACCCCAGCAGCCTGCCAGTGACCCTGCCGCGCCTGAGCAGCCCACCCCCGAGCCCAAGTCCTCGGCACGTGCTCCAGCTCGAGGTAGGACAAGGCAAGATCTTCTTTCAGCACCAAGGACAGCTCTCGGCTACCTGGTCTACCCTGTGGATGCCAGAACTTTGTCGCGGTTTATCTATTCCGTTGGTGGACCCTTAGCCTCCACATCTGGAATTGGACTCTCATGTCCCTGCAAAGCTCACCATAAACTGTCATCAAGAGTGTAGCACAGGCTGTCAGGAGACTTTTGGAATCCCTGGTGGAATATTTAGGGGTACAACAGAGATGGAAATGAAAATCAGCAATAGGGGCCAGCATGGTGGCATAGTGGGTAAAGCCGCCACCTGTAATGCCAGCATCCCACAATGGACACTGATTCATGTCCTGGATGCTCCATTTCAAATCCAGCTCCCTGCTAATGTGCCTGGGGAAAGCAGTGGAAGATGGCCCAAGTGTTTGGGTTCCTACCACCCATGTGGGAGACCCGGATGAAGCTCCTAGCTCCTGGCTTCAGCATGGCCCAGCCCTCGCCATTGTGGCTATTTGGGGAATGAACTAGTGGATGGAAGATCTGTCTCTCTCTTTCTCTGTAACTCTGACTTTCAAATAAATAAATAAATCCTTTTATAAAAATTAGCAATAGAGACTCCCACCACCAAATTACACAACAGAGCTTGGGGGACTTGGGAGGTTACTGAGAACTCTTTCCTAGTCCTCGGTATTTTTTCTTTCAACCACAAGCAAATCTGAAGTTAGATTAATTAAAAGTGAAAGATGAATAGAAAGGAAATTACTAAAAAAAAAATACAACCGCTGTTGACATCATCTCTATTTTCCAAGTATTATTATTAATTATTAAGATGATGATTAAAGAGGAATGGCAAAGCCATTTTTTAAAAAAAAATAGCAGCAACCACAAGAAAAACATTTTAATTGAAACAGACTACTAAGAATGATCAGATAAAACTCTTGCAATAATTTCTTTATTAAAAAAAGATTTATTTATTTATTTGAAAGAGTTACACAGAGAGAGAAGGAGTGACAGAGAGAGAGAGAGAGGTCTTCCACCTGTTGATTCACTCCCCAGATGGCCGCAATGGCTGGAGCTGGACCAATCTGAAACCAGGAGCCTGGAGCTTCTTCCGGGTCTCCCACAGGGGCCCAAGGATTTGGGCCATCTTCTGCTGCTTTCCCAGGCCATAGCAGAGAGCTGGATCAGAAGTGGAGCAGCTAGGACTTAAACTGGTGCCCATATGGGATGCTGGCACTGCAGGTGGCAGCTTTACCCGCTACGCCACAGCACTGACCCTGCAATAATTTCAATTAACACTGACTATGAAGATTCCAGAGTTAAGTATAGGCAGCACTTCTGAGTGGAAAGTTATAGAGGAAGATCTCAGAATTGAAGTGTCCAGCTCCGTCTCCCATCAGCTGGCTTCTCAAGATGCCACCATGGCGCCTGGTGCCTAAAAGGCACTCAGCTTCCTTCCTGACAAGGCACGGGGGATCCCTGTCCTTGCAGAAAATCACCAAAGCACCAACGTACATCGCATCCCCAGGGAGCCCCCAGCTCCCACCGCTACAGCGTCCTTCTTCCTAGCCTAGCCTTTCCCTCTAACCAAGAAGAACGTGCAGCAAACTTCTTTTTAAAGCCTGTGTATTCTCCTATGTGTTTGTGCACACAAAGGAAACCAAGAGTCAGAACCAGGAGTTAAATCAAAAGGGAGGCGGAAAGCGAGACTTAAGTTTTGAAAGGCGTTCTGGGGAGTGGTGGGTAAATCCCTTTAGGGGCTAAAGGAATGGCTCCCCCCAGATGCCAGAGAGCCAGGACTCGCTGTCATTCCTCCATCTGCCCAGGCGACACTGGAGATGGGTGGGTTCTGCTGGCTGTGTCCAGGAGGCCGTCCACCCCAACCCTCCATGGCCCTTTCTCCACTCACTTCCTGCTTTTCCTTCCAGGCCCTGACCCGGCCTCTGCTCCTGGGCGAGGAAGCTACGGGCCTCCTGCTCGCAGGGCCTCAGAGGCGCGGATGAGCCCGTGTGGCCGGGAAGCAGAGAGCTCGGGGGCTGCCGGGGATGCCAGCCGGAGCCCAGCAGGTGAGAGAGATGGGCACAGCCAAAGAAGCCTGCTGGCGGAGGAGAGTCAGAAAGAGCCAGGAAGGCAGAGGTTTTGTTTTTAAATTTACATATGAATGTGTGTTAAATTGCTCAAATTTACACATCGTCATTGTAGCTATTTGTGGCATACCATGTGATATTTCTATACCTGTATACATCATACAGTGTGCAAACCAAGTCTGCCCAGCTGTCTCTGCAAACACAGGTTTCTTTGTGAGGAGCACATTTAAAATCCTTTCTTCAAGCTTTTTTTTAAAAAAAGATTTTATTTATTTATTTGAGAGAGAGAGTTACAGATAGTGAGAGGGAGAGACAGAAAGGTCTTCCATCCCTTGGTTCACTCCCCAGATGGCCGCAACGGCCAGAGCTGCGCCGATCTGAAGCCAGGAGCCAGGGGCTTCTTCCCAGTCTCCCACGTGGGTGCAGGAGCCCAAGGACCTGGGCCATCCTCCACTGCCCTCCCAGGCCACAGCAGAGAGCTGGCCTGGAAGAGGAACAGCCGGGACTAGAACGGGTGCCCATATGGGATGCTGGTGCTGCAGGCGGAGGATTAACCTACTGCGCCACGGTGCCAGCCCCTCTTCAAGCTTTTTTGAGACACGCAGTACATTACATTTTCTGTCGTCCCCCGCTGGGCCCTAGAACGCCAGGCTCACCTCCCTGCCATCTCACCTGTGACTGCCCTCTGTGGGCCCTGTTCTGTTCTGGATGCCGGCTCTAGTCTGTGCGGGAGGCAAGACAGGCGGTTCTGGAAAAAGAAAAGCCAGGGGATTTTTTCATCCCCTCCCTCCCCAGAAAACCCTGGGGGGATGTCCCCGGGCTCTGAGCGAAGGATGCCTCCCTCTCAGGGAGCCACCGGCGTTCCCTCCTCCCTGTTCCCTTTCCACCCAGCAAGGCCAGGGATGTGGATTCTGGAGGCAGACAGACTTGGACAGGAGTCTGACCTTGGCCACTTCTGGCCACGTGAGCTTCCTCAGCTGCAAAGTGGGACCCAAGATCCCACACACAGCGCTGAGCTGGGAGGGTCTAAGGGTGGTGCTCAGGGCCTGGGGCATTGAAAACACTGAGTGAGTGAGAGAGTGAGAGAGTGAGAGAGTGGGTGGGTGAGTGGGTGAGTGGGTGGGTGAGTGGGTGGGTGGGTGAGTGGGTGAGTGGGTGGGTGAGTGAGTGGGTGAGTGAGTGAGTGGGTGGGTGAGTGGGTGGTGGGTGAGTGGGTGAGTGGGTGGGTGAGTGAGTGAGTGGGTGGGTGAGTGACTGAGTGAGTGAGTGGATGAGTGAGTGAGTGGGTGAGTGGGTGGGTGACTGGGTGGGTGACTGGGTGAGTGGGAGGGTGAGTGGGTGGGTGATGTAGGACCCTAGGACAGGACCTCGTGGTCTGTAAGCCCCCAGGCAGAGGTGCTGAAGCACCATGGTCATGAGCATGAATTCAAGGAACGTGGGACCCCACCAGTGAGGAGGGAGGGCACAGGGCCTTCTGCTCAGAACCTCACAGCTTCTGGGCGCCAGGGGTGCTGCCTACATTGTCCCGTTCACTCCTCCGGCAGCTCTGCAGGAAGCAGCAGCCCAGAGAGCTTCAGGCACAGGCTCTCAAGACAGACTGCCCGAGTTCAAATCCCGACTCTGCCACTAACCCACCGAGGGACACTGAGCTCGTAACCCCTATGCCTCTGTTTCTCCATCCACACAATGGAGGTGATAAGGGTGTCCTCCTCATAAGGTTACTAGTATAGAGATTTGACAAGTTCTTTCAAAAATGTATTTATTGGGGGCCAGCGCTGTGGCGTAGTGGGTAAAGTCACTGCCTGCAGTGCCAACATCCTATATGGGCACCGGTTTGAGTCTCGGCTGCTCCACTTCCGATCCAGCTCTCTGCTATGGTCTGGGAAAGCAGTGGAGGGTGGCCCAGGTTCTTGGGCCCCAGCACCTGTGTGGGAGACTCAGCGGAAGCTCCTGGCTCCTGGCTTTGGATCAGCACAGCTGGTGGCCATTTGGGGAGTAAACCAATGGATGGAAGATTTCTTTCTCTCTCGGTAACTCAGCCTTTCAAATAAAATAAATAAATCTTTTAAAAATGTATTTATTTATTACCTGGTGACACACACACACACAGAGGTGTGGGGGGTGGGGAGCTCCCACACCTCTGGTTCCTCCTCAAATGCTCAAAGGGCCAGAGCTGGGACCTCAGTCCAGGTCTCCCACATGGGAGGTAGGAACCTAGTTATCCTTGAGCCATCACTGCCACCTCCCAGGGTCAGTGTCAGCAGGAAGCAGGAGTCAGGAGCTGGAGCCAGGAATCAAACCCAGATCCTCCTGTGTGTAACACAGGCACCTTACCTGCTAGGCTGACGCCCGCGCCTAAATAAGTTCTTACACGTAAAGTCCCCAGCCCACTGAAGCACAGAGTAAAGTTTCTTATTACTATTAAGAGACAGTGGGGGGCCGGTGCCGTGGCTCACTTGGTTAATCCACTGCCTGTGGTGCCGGCATCCCATATGAGCACCAGGTTCTAGTCCCGGTTGCTCCTCTTCCAGTCCAGCTCTCTGCTGTGGCCCAGGAGTGCAGGGGAGGATGGCCCAAGTGCTTGGGTCCCTGCATCCGCATGGGAGAGCAGAAGGACCTGGCTCCTGGCTTCGGATCGGCACAGTGCGCCGGCCAATGCAGCCATTTGGGGAATGAACCAACGGAAGGAAGACCTTTCTCTCTGTTTCTCTCTCTCACTGTCTATCTGTCAAATAAATTTAAAAAAAATAAAAGAGAGACAGGTGGAGCCGTTGTCTGCAGGAGGTGACAGCCCGGGATCACACAGCTTATACGGGAAGAAGCTGAGGTGCAAAGTCAAGTGTGAAGACAGACAGGTTCTTCCACTAACAGCCCCGCCTACGGGGGCTGGGCGACCCCTCCCACCAAGCCCTGTTCCGAGTAGAGGCAGTGCTCTGAGCGACGCCGTGGTGTGCTCACCACAACCCTGGGAGGGAGATGCCGTTATCCCCACTGAGCAGAGGAGGGAACTGAGGCTCTGAGATGGCAGGTCACGTGGGCCAGGCCACACAGATGGAAGTGGACACGCAGGACCCTGATGCTGCTGCCGCCATGTGCCAGGAGGGGGCGCATCCCGACCGGAGGGCAAGGAGCTGCGGGGCGGGGACTGCCTTCCAAAGCCTGGGGCCTGGGCTCCTGCTCCTGCTCCAGGCGGGTCCTGACTGCTGCTTCCCTTCCCGCCTCTCCCCTGCAGGTTTGAGACGAGCCAACTCCGTGCAGGCCTCCAGACCCTCCCCGGCCTCCCTGCAGAGCCCAGCGCCTCCTCAGCTTGGGCAGCCAGGTACCTGCCACCACCTGCCCCCCCCCGCCCACGCTGCCGCTCGGCTGTGACCCCAGTACCTCCCAGCCCTGCTTGCTGAGCCCTCGGACTGGGGGCACAGCTGCGGCCACCACTGAGCCCTAAGCCCCTCTGAGACCCACGGAAGTAATCCCCTGGGCAGGGATTCTGGGTGTGGGTGGAGCAGGAGCAGGAGGCGGCGAGGGAAAGAGGCAGGCACCCGCGTGGCCAGCCTCTGCTGCACCCTCAGTCTTGTCTCTATTCAGGCCTGGGCGGGGGGTAGCAGCCCCCCCCCAGGGCCCCAGATCATGGGCCAGACCAGCACTCACTTGCTCCTGTGCCTGCCCAGTGGCCTGTCTGTCCCACTGCTCCAAGAGAGAGCACGGGCTGCCGAGTCTCAGCTCAGCCTGCACCCCGGGACCCATGGGTGAAGGCCACACAGCGCTCCCTCCCCTGAGCGCAGAACTCTAGGTAGTCCACGCCAAGGTGGGACAGAGAGAAAATGCCAAGCTACTGTAGTTTAACAGCACAGGTGCCTGGGCTCAGATCCTGCTGCTTCACTTCCCGGCTGTGCGGCCTCAGGCGAGTCACTGAGCTTCCGCTGAGCCTCAGTTTCCCCATCCGTGAAATAGGAATGATGCCAGAACCTGCCTTGCAGGGTGGCTGCAAGGATCCCACGTCAAGTCTGTGTTCAGTGGGAACAGTTACCACATAGGAGCCATGTGTGCTGCCTCCATCCATCACAGCAGCGACAGATGCATTGCTTTCTAATGCACTATTGTTTAAAAAGATCTATTTCTTTGTTTCTTTGCAAGACAGAGTGACAAACAAGGAAGAGACTGAGACAAAGTGGTCTTCCATCCACTGGTTCACTCCGCAAACGGCTGCAACAGCCAGAGCTGAGCCAGGCAGAAGCAGGAGCCAGAAACCCCATCCTGGTCTCCCACGCGGGTGGTGGGGACCCAGGTGTTTGCGTCATCCTCTGCTGCCTTCCCAGGCACATTGGCAGGGAGCTGGATAGGAACCAGAGCAGCCAGGACTCGCACTGGCACTTCATATTGGGTGCTGATGTTGTAAGTGGCAGCTCAATCCATTGCGCCACAATGCTGGCCCCAGCCAGGCACTGTTTTTTGTTTTTTTGTTTTTAATTTCTTTTTCTTTTTCTTTTTTGACAGGCAGAGTGGACAGTGAGAGAGAGATAGAGAGAAAGGTTGTCCTTTACCGTTGGTTCATCCTCCAATGGCCGCCACGGCTGGCGCGCTGCAGCTGGTGCACCGCACTGATCCGAAGCCAAGAGCCAGGTGCTTCTCCTGGTCTCCCATGCGGGTGCAGGGCCCAAGCACTTGGGCCATCCTCCACTGCACTCCCAGGCCATAGCAGAGAGCTGGCCTGGAAGAGGGGCAATCAGGACAGAATCTGGCGCCCCGACTGGGACTAGAACCCGGTGTGCCGGTGCCGCAGGCGGAGGATTAGCCTATTGAGCTGCGGCACCAGCCAGGCACTGGTTTTAAATGCTGCACACATATTAGATCTTTTTTTTTTTTAAAGATTTATTTATTTATTGGAAAGGCAGAGTTACAAAGAGGCAGAGAGAGAAAGAGAGAGAAAGGTCTTCCATCTGCTGATACATTCCCCCAAATGGCCACAATACTCAGAGCTGGGAAGATCCGAAGCCAGGAGCCAGGAGCTTCTTCTGGGTCTCCCAAGTGGATGCAGGGGCCCAAGGACTTACACCACCTTATGCTGCTTTTCTAGGACATAGTGGAGAGCTGGATCGGAAGTGGAACAGCCAGGGCTCAAGCCACGCCCACGTGGGATGCCTGAACTGCAGGCAGTGGCTTTACCCGCTATGCCGCAGCGCTGGCCCCTTAGATAATTTTTTTAAAAAGTGATACCTCCCACTATTTTGAGTACTTTCAGATATGCTCATTCCCATTCTTTAGATGAGAAAACTGAGGTTCAGAGGCATCAAGGAACTTGCTCCAGGTCACACCACTGAGATCCAAACCCAGGTTGCCTGGCTGCAGCCACACCACTGGGCCGGACCCTTGGGAGGCCAGTTTCACCTGCATCCAGCCCAGCTCCAGACACTTGCTATCCAAGGACCCCACCGCAAGGCCCCGTGACTCTGGGAGGAGCCCGGGATTCTGCACTTTTAAAAGCTTCCCTCACTGTGGTCGGGAAACCAGGATTCAGTCACTTTTCCGTCCCCTTTTTGTCTCCCTGTAGAGGTGGCGCCGCCGAGTGACCCTGGCTCTACAGGGGCCCCTGCCCCACCCCGGGAGGAGAGAATGGGAGGAGCTGGGGGCTTCTCGGCAGTCGCAACCAGGGAGGACCGGGCAGCCCACCCACCCGGCCCCTTTTCCCAAGCCTCTGCTGCTGCCCCCCAGCCTGCCGCGGCCCCTCCCCGCCAGCCGCCACCCCCGGAGGAGGACGAAGAGGAAGCCAACAGTTACGATTCGGATGAAGCAAGTAGGTGGCACTTACGGCAGTGGCAACTGGGAAAAGTCACTTCCAAGGCCAACAACCCCGGGGAAGCTCCCCGAACAGCCCTGTTGTCCCCCAGCCCCTAATCGGCTACCCCCAGTGACCCTGCTCACCCCGTTATCAAGTGCAGGTGTGAGCTCCTAAATCCGCAGAGCAGAATCGGCTTACTAGGTGGGTGTGCGGTGGGAAAATACTCCAACCTCCGCACTGCCACCTGGGTCACTGTGAGGAACGCCGCTCGGTGGTGCTCCGCGGACTCCCTGTGTGCCCCCGGCTGGGCCTCGGAATTAGCATAGGCCCCAGAGGCTTCTCAGCTCTCTATGTCTGCTAAAGGTATCTGTACTCATGTCATTGCACCTGTCATTGAGTCCTCTACCACGTCCCTGCTCTGCACACTTCTCCCCGCCGAGGGGGGCTGGGACTGCACGGGAGAACTGGAAGAAGGCGGGACTGGCAGGTATCTGGGTCCAGTAAGCACCTGGGGGAGGGGGCGTCCTGAGAGGTCCCGGCCTCCCAGTAGAAATGGACCGCAGTCTGTGACCGTGGCCGTCACGTTCTCTGTCTCCGTTGTAACGTGGGAGCAGCACGCAGGCTGAGGGCAAACTGAGACCCTCCTGGGAACACAAGTCCCAGGGACTCGGAGCCCCGCCCCGCCGAGCCCGTCTGTCACGCCAGGCGCTGTCCCCCGTGAGTTCTGTGCTGCAGCCATGGACGCGTCCGTAGGCGCCTGGGAAGAGGCGCCCCAGCTGCTCCCACTTCACAGACGGGGACGCAGGCTCCAGGGGCGCTCAGGACTCGTGTATGCTCATGCAGCCTGCTGCACAGGGTCAGAGGCTAGACCGGGTGAAGGGTCAGCTGCCCGCTGTGTCCCCTGTGCTCGCCCGTGGGCCAAGGGTCCTGCAGTCCACCCTCTGTCAGCCGTGGGCCACTTCTGCCCTGCAGGTGCACGGGGTCCACCCACCTCCCCACCTCTTCGCATCCTGGCCCTTGCCCCAGGACAGCGACCACTGCTCCCTCCATCTGCCCTAAACGCCCCATCCCACCGGACAGGGTGCCCCTCCCAGCCTCAGGTCTGCCCTGAGGTTTATAACAAGGCTGTCCTGTGCTAGACTGTGACCTTGTCACTCTGCCCCTAGTCTCTGTATTTGACAACAGTGCACTGAGCATGCTGTTCTAGGTGTGAGGGACACCATGGTGAAGCATGTTAATTCCAGCAGAGAGAGGGAGAGTGAACACCCCAGCAAGTTCATTTCCAACAGACAGCACCGTGAAGGAAGCAAAATGTGGCTGGAGAAGGGGGACTGCATTAGGCGGAGTGATCAGGGAGGGCTTCCTTGAGGAGGTGGCACTGGAGCTGAGAAGGAGAAGGAGAAGGTGCCAGCCACATGAGGATCTAGAGGGAGAGAGCACTTTGGGCCGAGGGAATGGCAAATGCTAAGATTCAATTTATCCTTTCAAACAAAAACCTGCAAGAGGTTCGTGGAAAAGTGGAATTAAACGATAATGCAAAATTTCCATGAACTTTGTAGAACCCCCTTGTCGGTGAGCACCCACTGTGTGCCCTGTGCTGAGCACAGTGGGGACACAGCCGTCCACGTGACCGTCCCAGCCCTGGCCCTCCTGGGGCTGTCAATCTCGTAGGACAGGAAGTCACTACCTACACAAGTGCCCCCGTGGTGATCTGGCCCCAGGTGCGCTGAGGGCTCCAGGCTGGGCGTCCAGGGCAGGCTTTGAGTCTCCCCTCTTCTGCAGTCTCAAGGCCCAGAAGGTGCTCGGGAAATGTTTGCTGAATGACTAAACGAGCGTTCTCTTGGTCCCTGTCTCTGCCTCCTGCAGCCACCCTGGGGGCCCTGGAGTTCAGCTTGCTGTACGACCAGGATAACAGTTCTCTGCACTGCACCATCATCAAGGCCAAGGTGGGTGAGGGGTCCAGTGGGGGACGTCTCTGGAGGCGCGGGTGGGGCGGGGCTGCCGGGCCTGTCCAGGCCATGTCTGCCCGTGGCACTGACAGTGATGAGAAGTGGGCCGTCGTTAGCCACAGGGAGTTCTTGGGAGGGAGCTTCCTCTAGGGACGGTGCCGGGGGGTGGGGGGCGATTCCCTTGTGTGTGCCACCTCCTGGGAGCAGAGGCAGCAGCTGTTGGGCCTGTGCACGGTTACCCCCGCCCCATCCCCAGGTCCGTCCGGCTCCTGCCACCAAGTTGGCATGGCGGCGAGCTGGGGGTCTGTCATGGAGGGCACAGCACGCTGATGTGGGCTTCTGGGGGCAGGGGGGAGGGGAGGCCACGCTGCAGGCCCCAGGGAGCTAAAGACTCCGCTCCAGATCCCAACAAAAGCTGAGTGAGGTCCACGTGAGCCAGTCTCCTCCAGGCCAAAGAGCAGCTCAGCCGCTTCCTGGCTGTGTGACCTGGGGGAAGTCACTAAGCCCCTCTGTGTCTCGGGGACAATAGCAGCATCCCGCATGGACATGGCTGTGCCAGGACGGCCACACCTGTGCCTGTCTCCTTACAGTGATAACTACGACCTCCCTCGGGGGCCGGTGTTGTGGCACAGCAGGTAGAACTGCCTCCTGGGACGCCGGATCGTGCGAGCGCCAGTTCGAGTCCTGACTGCTCTGCTTCCAAACCAGCTCCCCGCTAATGTGCTTGGGGAGGCAGTGGAAGACGGCTCACGTACTTGGGCCCCTGCATCCACGTGGGAGACCCGGATGGACTTCCAAGCTCCTGGCTGCACCTGGCCCAGCTCTCACTGCTGTGGCTATTTGCAGAGTGAACCAGCAGATAGATGCTTGCTCACTCGCTCTCTCTCTCTCTCTCTTTGACAGGCAGAATTAGACAGTGAGAGAGAGAGAGAGAGAGACAGAGAGAAAGGTCTTCCTTTTTTCCATTGGTTAAGCCCCCAAATGGCTGTTACCGCCAGTGCACTGCGCCGATCCGAAGCCAGGAGCCAGGTGCCTCCTCCTGGTCTCCCATGGGGTATAGGGCCCAAGCACTTGGGCCATCCTCCACTGCCCTCCCAGGCCACAGCAGAGAGCTGGCCTGGAAGAGGGGCAACTGGGACAGAATCCGGCGCCCCAACCGGGACTAGAACCCGGTGTGCCGGCGCCGCAAGGCAGAGGATTATCCTAGTGAGCCACGGCGCCAGGTACTCTCTCTCTGTCCCTCCCTCTCTCTCTTGCTCTGCCTTTTTTTTTTTTAAGATTTATTTATTTATTTGAAAGGCAGAGTTACACGGAGAGACAGAGAGAGAGGTCTTCCATCCACTGGTTCACTCCCAAAATGGCCACAATGGCCAGTCTGAAGCCAGCAGCAGGAGCTTCTTCCAGGTCTCCCACGTGGGTGCAGGAGCCCAGGCACTTGAGCCACCTTCCGCTGCTTTCCCAGGCCATTAGCAGGGAGGTGGCTCGGAAGTGGAGTTGCTGGGAATCAAACCGGCACCCGTATGGGATGTCAACGCCGCAGGCCGTTACTGTTCGGATGCCCCTGTGGGGGTGATGAGTTGGGTCAGGAACCCTTCGTGCGACTCCCAGCCCCTCCGCCCCTCCACCAAGCCCCTCCTTTAGCAGGCTTGCGCTGAGGCCCTGCCGGGGATCAGCCACTGTCACGGGTGCCTCGAGGCTCCGAGCCCACCCCAGTAGGAGAGGTCCGGACGTGTGTTGTCCTTTCTCATCCACGCCTCTGAGGCTGGGGCTCCTGAGCCACGTGGTGCAGGCTGGAAACTGAAGTCCACGCCGCTGGTGGGGGTGGGGTGGACCATCGCAGGTGAGACCCAGCAGAGGCCCCCCAGGACCCCATGAAGTGGGCTGTCGTCAGCCTCCATGAACAGATGGGGAAACTGAGGTGCCAGGAGGTCACTGGACACACCCATGGTCTCTGTGCTGTGAGAGGGGACGGCGGGAGCCCTGAGGTGAGGCCCCGCCCCAGGCTGGGTGTGCGGGAGTGCGCAGTGTGTGCGGGAGCCCAGGAATCTGGGGGCCACCCGGAGTAACCACGCAACATAGTTCTGCCCCAAACCCGCTTCGTCCCACGTCTGCCTCAGCCTAGAATCTTCCTAGCCCATTGTATGGATGGAGAAACTGACTTCTCAGGAGCGAGGCCCAGAACCCAGAACCCAGGCAGCTCCTCCTTCCCTGGCTCCCCTTCTCCCTGCCCCCCTACTCTGGGGCCACCGTGACTCACTGTGGGTCAGACTCTTTACAGGGGGGGCGCCTTGAAATCTCACCACTCCCTAAACAAAACATTGCACGGCCCCCTTTGGACAGGTGAGGGATTCAGGCTCCTGGAGGCTAAGAAGTTGCCTAAGGCACACAGCCAGGCAGTGCCGCGTCTTTAACCCTGTCTGATCCTACACTCTTCCCACAATGCTCGTTTCCCTCTTCTCTCTCTGAAAAAGGAAGCCCGAAGCCCGGGGAATGACTGAGGGTCGGCTGGAGACACATGCCAGGACGATGCCCATTGCCTGGGGCAGCTGAGGGCCCAGCCCGCCCCGCCAGGCCCTCACACTCCAGCCCGCCCCAGCCAGGCCCTCACGCCCCAGCCCGCCCCAGGCCCTCATGGCCCAACCCCCTCTCTTGCAGGGGCTGAAGCCCATGGATTCCAACGGCTTGGCTGATCCCTACGTGAAGCTGCATCTCCTGCCAGGAGCCAGCAAGGTACCATATGGCCTGGGCCTTGGCAGGCACCCAAGGCCTCAGCTCCGAGCCCAAAGCAGCCAACCCGCCCCAAGTCCCCGCCCCTCACCGTGAGTGGCAAAGCCCTTGCTAGGTAGGGGTAAAGAGTGCGCAGGGAGTCCCTGGAGGGGAGGGGTCTCCCCACCCACTCATGCCCACAGCCAGGCATTCCTCACCCTTGCCCTTCGACAGAACTAAACAGCTCACCCCAGCCTTAGATAACGTGAGGAAAGATCTTCAAAGGCTCATGAATAAACGAAATTGAAAGGTGGGTTTATCTTGGTGCAGAAAATTTTGTCTTCGGAAAGCTCATAGGAATACATATGCTGAACAAACCACACAGATTCTCAAAGTTTTTGCACCTAAAATAAGCACATCTTTGAATTCCATTTCTGCACAGCCGTTGGCGATGCCCTCGTATCCCCTCCCTCGAGGGGCCGGAGCCCCTGCCCCACCACCCAGCCCTCGCTCCCCTCCCTCGAGGGGCCGGAGCCCCTGCCCCACCACCCAGCCCTCGCTCCCTCCCTCGAGGGGCGGAGCCCCTGCCCCACCACCAGCCCTCGCGCCCCTCCCTCGAGGGGCCGGAGCCCCTGCCCCACCACCCAGCCCTCGCTCCCTCCCTCGAGGGGCCGGAGCCCCTGCCCCACCACCCAGCCCTCACTCCCCCCTCCCTCGAGGGGCCGGAGCCCCTGCCCCACCACCCAGCCCTCGCTCCCTCCCTCAAGGGGCCGGAGCCCCTGCCCCACCACCCAGCCCTCGCTCCCCTCCCTCGAGGGGCCGGAGCCCCTGCCCCACCACCCAGCCCTCGCTCCCCCTCCCTCGAGGGGCCGGAGCCCCTGCCCCACCACCCAGCCCTCGCTCCCCCCTCCCTCGAGGGGCCGGAGCCCCTGCCCCACCACCCAGCCCTCGCTCCCCCTCCCTCGAGGGGACGGAGCCCCTGCCCCACCACCCAGCCCTCGCTCCCCCCTCCCTCGAGGGGACGGAGCCCCTGCCCCACCACCCAGCCCTCACTCCCCTCCCTCGAGGGGCCGGAGCCCCTGCCCCACCACCCAGCCCTCGCTCCCCTTCCAGCTGAGGCGCCAGCTCCCGCTCTGCCCCGGATGGGCCTCCCCCCTGTGCACTGGCCCACCCCAAGCACAGAGCTGCACATGGACGGGCCTGTGCCCCCCGGGCCCGAGCTGGCGCTTTGCTGTGCTGATCCTCATGGGGTCCCCTAGGCAGGGGTGGCGGTTGTCTTGATTCCATGACTTAGAATGCGTACATGCTATTCAGATGTCCCATGTGATGAAAGAGGATGCATGTGCACACAGGCACATACACACAAATATACACATACATACATACACACCTGCACGCACATACATGCACAAACACCCATAGATATGTGCACACACATATACATGCAAACACATATAAGCATGTATGTATGTGTGCATACATAAACACAGGCATACATGTATACACACATACACACCTATGCACAAACACACACTACATACTTATACACACATACATACACACCTTCACACATATACATGCACATACATACATGCACATTTACATATACATGCAAACATATATATACGTACATATATGTACATGCACACATACACAAACACAGGCACACATGGACACGCATACTACACATACTTATACACACATACATACATGCACATGCACACTTACACACACACACTCTGTCTCACTGTTTCTTCAGAACAGGGAAAAAGGGTCCCTCCCCTGGCCATGGCCGGTTTTGGCAGAACTTGACCCCTCTCCTTCCGACACCCCAGTGACATTCGCTTTCCTGGTCCCCACCCAGATGCTCTGCTTTGCCCAGTCCGAGCCCCACACAGTTAGCGTGACTTAGGCCGCTGCTCTGGTCCGGGTGCACTCCAGCCTCCCTAGGGCGCAGGGGCAGCTCGTCCCCTCAAGGAGTTTCAGGCATGAGGGCGCTATCTGGGGGACAGCGGGAGCCACCCCAGCTCCTGCCCAGGAACGGGTGACTCTTATTTTCTCAGAGCAAGACGCCGGTGCTTTCTTACCTTCAGGCAGGGCTCAAGGAAGGGGCCATGTGCACGGGGGTGGGGGACCCAGAGCCCAGCGTGGATCCCTTTGTCCATAGCCATCACCCCAGAGGGTCCCCCTCACTCCCTGAGAACATGTGCTGGGGACGGCCACGCCCCCGGATGCTCCCCCGAGCCCGCCCAGGGATGGTGCTCCAGGGCCAGCTCCCCGCTGAGGCCGGCGTCTGCCTGTCCCTCTCCCCGGGCTCCAGTCTAACAAGCTGCGGACAAAAACACTGCGTAACACGCGGAACCCTGTGTGGAACGAGACGCTGGTCTACCATGGCATCACCGAGGAGGACGTGCAGAGGAAGACCCTCAGGTACCCACGGCTGTCCCGGGCCCGCTCCTCATAAAGGCCCCCGGGGGGAGTGTCTTGGCTATATTTACAGACAGTGCATATGTCCAGCAGAATCTTGTGGGAATACCGTCGTCCCTGACGATCCACAGGGGACTGTTCCAGAACCCTCCGCAGACACCACACCTGGATGCTCAGGTTCCCGATGGGGGCTGGGGCCATGTGTGCCTGGATGCACACGCATCCTCCCACGTGTTCTCATTCATCCCTACGTAACTCAGGACCCCCGATACCAGAGTGGGTCGTCCTTTTCTTTAGGGAGTAAGAGCAAGGAATCTTCTCTCTGCACATTCAGCATAGGCACTTTTTCTTCCCAAACGTTTCGATCCGTGGTTGCTGAAGCCACAACACAGATGCACAGGCTGACATAACGTGGAACAAAGGAAGCTACACATGGAAGAGAACGGATCCACTTATAGGGAGGGCAGAAACAGGCCACATGGCTCGCTGGGGCCAGAGGTCATGACCGTAGTCATCTTGGAGACGGGCGTGCCTGGAAGATTCCACAGCGGGCACTGGGGGTTCTGTGTCTCGTTCTGGGTATGGGCTGGGCAGGTGTACGCACGTGCCAGCCTGCTGTGGGTGTGTGCAGCAGGCTATGGGTGTGTGCACCTGCTGAGTGAGAGTGACACTCAGGAAGGAAGGGCTAGAGGAGCCAGCCTCTGGCTCCACAAACAGGACACAATCTGATTCCTTTACGTGTTGCACGCTCCTCCCAGCACCCACCGCGGCACTGGCCACGTGGAACAGCTCAGTGTCACTTCCTCTTTCTCTCCCCAACCACCCTTCCTTCGGCGCTAGGATCTCCGTCTGTGACGAGGACAAATTTGGCCATAATGAGTTCATCGGTGAGACGAGATTTTCCCTCAAGAAGCTGAAGCCCAACCAGAGGAAGAATTTCAACATCTGCCTGGAGCGGGTGATCCCCGTACGTGGGCCTGCCCCCAAGTGGGGGTGGGTGGGGCGGCCGGCCACCTGCCAGTCACGAGCTCAGGAATCGCCACACACAGGAGTCGGTAGAGGGTGGGCTCTGTGGACAGACGCCGTGGGTCCCAGCCCTGCTGTTTACAGGAGAGCCTGAGGGCGACCAGTTCGCCTCTCCAAGTCTCAGTTTTCTCATCTATATGATGGGACAGTGTGGTGCTGACCCCAAAGGCCTCTTAAGGATCAAGTGAGACCGCCCATGCGAAGCATTGGAAGCGCTGCTTTGGTCGTGAGAGCAAGAAGGGGCAAGACTGGGGCTCCACAGTGGGACTGCACTGCAGAATTCCCGGGGAGGGGGTGTTAAACCAGAGCTCCGCACGCCTCCCCTGCAGACTCCTGGTGGGGAAGTGCTGGCCCCACGCACAGCAGTCTGCACAGTTAGAGAAACCCAAAGTGCCCTGTGTGATCTGTGGGCGATTTGAGCCCAGGGAGGGGCGTAAGTTGCTGCGGCCCCTCCATGCAGCAGTGGCAGAGAGCCCCGCCCTCCTGCAGCCCCTGGCCATGGGGACCAGGAGGGGAGATCCTACAGCACCCTCCTCCAGATGGAATAGTGTGCACTGTGCCACACCCGTCTCTGTAGCTCAAGCAGGACACAAGGGGCAGAGCAGGGAAGGATTCACACTGACTGCCGGGCTGCAGGGCGGCGTTCAAGGCGGGTCCTCCAGGCCTTTGCATGGCCGCGGCCAGCTCACCAGGCTTCCGCTCCCTGGCCTCGCTCACTGGGGGGCCAGCAGCCTCTGGGTGCACTCATGTCGTGGGGTAGGGTGCGGCCAGCCCTGAGACACAGAGGGGGCAGGACAGGCAGAGGCCGGCAGACGCCAAAAACGCTGCTGACCACATTCTGCCCTTTGTCCCTCCTGGTGAACCCCATCACCACCACCCGCCCCCCATGACCACCTGCTCCATGCGTCCCCTCCCCTCGGGACCTGTTTTCCTCATCTCTAAAGTGAGGAAGTTTGGGCTGAACCCGTGATTTTACTTCTTTGTTTTCCTTTTATTTGGAGGCAGAGAGAGAGAGACAGATGAGATCTTCTCTCTGTTGGTTCACTCCCCAAGTGACCGCAATAGCTGGGGCTGAGTCAGGCTGAAGTCAGGAGCCCTGAGCTCAGTCTGGGTCTCCCATGTGGGTGGCAGGGACTCAGGTATACGAGCGACCACCTGCTGCCCCCTAGGGTGTGCAGCAAGCAGAACTGGGACTCGAATCCCCGCACTCCATCGGGGAATGCAGGCGTCCGATGCGGCATCTTGATCCGCTCCAGCCAGTGGTTTCAAACTGTGTTTCTCAGAGCCTTAGAGGCCAGCAAAAAGCCTTGGGAGCCAAGGAGGGAGCAGCCTCTGTGGGTCGGGCCCCAGGGCCCCTGGGCTGGTCAGTCCTGGCAGGTGAAGTCTTGCCTGTTTTATGAGTAGGGTTCTCTGTCACTTCTTGGCAGTGTGAGCTCGGGCAGGTGGCTTAACCACTGCGGCCCTCAGTGCCCTTCTCTGTAGCAGCTCCTCCGTCATAGGCTGCCGTGCACAGAGTCTGCCATGTGGTTGTGGCTTATTGGTTTTGGCCAAAAGAGGGCAAGCAGCTTGGAGGACGCAGGCCCCGGGTCTGGAAGCCGATGGGAGTGTGAGGGCCGGGTGGGCCTGGTTGGGCAGGGAGATGACCTCACCTTTCCTTTCTCTTCCCCCTTTCAAGATGAAACGTGCCGGGACCACCGGGTCGGCCCGCGGCATGGCCCTGTACGAGGAGGAGGTGAGTGCCAAGCAGGAACGGAAGCCATAGTCGGGGTCCCTGCCGCCGCCTGGCTGCCCTGCCATCTCCCTCTTCTCGCCTTCCCTGGCCCCACCCTTGCTCCTTCTCCCACACGGCCCACCCGTGGGTCCACTGTGAGAGCTGCCCCTTTGCCCAGTGCAGTAGGACACAAGACCGGGGCCTCTGCGGTGGGGCAGCCCCACCCTCTCACAGCCAGGATGCCCGTGAGTTCCCCGACCCTGCAGACAGTGACACGGGACTAGAGCAGCTCCCTCCATTGGGAGCTGGGCAGGCTCTCCTCCCTAAGAGAGAACAACACAGCCTTGCCCTCTGCCTGGGCTCCTCCATGGCTCCAGGGACCACCCTGGAGAGAAGTCTGAGGCCGAGCCAAGGGTGCAGCCGTGCCTGGGTGCTATGCTTGCAGCCAGGGCCTGGGCTGCTTCTACGTAAAGCCGCTGCCCCCCTCTACCTCAGACCTTCCATCAGTTTCTTCATAGGGTTGGGGCATCTGCTGTCCATGGTGCTGCCCATGGTGGACCTGGCCTGGCTCCTCCTGCCTCCAGGGCTTCTTCCCTAATGCCCACCATCCCCATGGCCTGCCCTCTCCCTCCCTGACCCCCACTGCCTTCTCTGTACCCTGCACCGTGCAGCAGGTGGAGCGTGTTGGGGACATTGAGGAGCGTGGCAAGATCCTGGTGTCCCTCATGTACAGCACTCAGCAGGGAGGCCTCATCGTGGGCATCATACGCTGTGTGCACCTGGCAGCCATGGACGCCAACGGCTACTCAGACCCGTTCGTCAAGCTGTGAGTCATTGCCATGCGACGGTGAAGGGCCCCTGGGATGGGATGGGATGGGGGGACGGGCATCAGATGGCTACCCTGAGATCATTGCACACTGAGAACCAGGGAGGGGAAGGAGCCAGCCCGAGGCCACACAGCAAAAGCCGTGATTGGAAGCAGCCAGCATGTGAGGCTGAAGTCTCGGGCACTCAGACGGCTGTGTCACATCTGCCACTTGGGGGGGTGGGACGAGGAGTGGCCAGCATGGGGTAGGAAGCCTGTTTGTGGCTGCTGGAGCCTACAGCGCCATAGAGGCCATAGAGGCCATCTGGATCTTCCCAGTCCTTTGTGGAGATGCTTAAAGGAGACGCTCAGGTGTGGGGGTTTGCAGCGCTCCCGTCGCGAGGAGGAAGGGACGTGGCTACTGCGTCTGTCCTTCTCCGAGCAGACATGGAGCCTCCCTTTCTCCACTGGTAAAATGCGCACAGTAGTTCCGTCTCTTATCCAAAATGCTTGGAACCAGAAGTGTTTTGGATTCTGGATTATTTGGGGGAGGGAGTGTGATGTTTGCATATAAGGGGACTTCAAAAAGTTCATGGAAAATGGAATCAAAGATAAGTTTTTAGTTAGAAATTTTTTTATTATTATTTTTTTTTTGACAGGCAGAGTGGACAGTGAGAGAGAGAGACAGAGAGAAAGGTCTTCCTTTGCCGTTGGTTCACCCTCCAATGGCCGCCGCGGCCGGCGCACGCGCTGATCCGATGGCAGGAGCCAGGTGCTTCTCCTGGTCTCCCATGTGGGTTCAGGGCCCAAGTACTTGGGCCATCCTCCACTGTACTCCCTGGCCACAGCAGAGAGCTGGCCTGGAAGAGGGGCAACCGGGACAGAATCCGGCGCCCCGACCGGGACTAGAACCCGGTGTGCCGGCGCCACAAGGCGGAGGATTAGCCTAGTGAGCCGCGGCGCCAGCCTAGTTAGAAATTTTTGAAAGCCAGTCCTAGTAGTTCATGATATGCATTTTGCACGAACGTTTTGAAAGATGCTGCATAGATCCCTAAGGATATTTCTCGTGTCCACATGTGAAATCTGTGTTTTACATGCGTGTTGTCCACACGGTCTAAAAGCGATTGCTTGCAATATTTTTAATGCACCTGTGTTTTGGCTAAAACCCATCCCCTGAGGGCAGATATGGAACTTTCTGCCTGTAGCATCACAGGGGTCCTCACAATGGGTGGGCTGCAGGGCATTTCAGATTCCAGGTTTCAGGGACGCTCAGTTAGAAGAGGGTCTGGTGCAGGGATGGTCAGCACCTCGGTAGGGTTCAGCTTGGCCCGGGGCAGCACAACACGTGGCTCTGCGTCCGGCCGCTGGGGCTTGGATCCCAGCTGCAGAAGTCTCCAGTACGCTCTAGCTGGGTGCCCTGGGGCTGCAGCTCAAGCTCTCCAGGCTCTCTGGGGGGTGACAAGAGTGACGTCACACACGGGTGCAGGTGTTCCAAGGAGACACCAAGAGAGGATGAGATGGGAAAATGCCTGTGGGGACAGGAAGGACCCAGAGAAAGGGGGGAGGAGCCACAGGCCTTGAAGCAGGTCCGAGCCCCTTGCACAAGGGAGGGGACAGGAAGTCAAGGCCGGGAGGGTCTCAGGCTGCAATGCCCAAGTTCCAGCCAGGACCATGGGATGTCCTGGAGCACTGTGCTGCCTCTGGGGTGAGCCCTGCACGTCCCAGGATCGGCGCTGCCTGGGGCCCGATGAGATCAGCCCTCCTGGTGGAGCCCCGTACCTTGCCCGTCAGTGTCACCCTGCAGCTGGAGCTCTGACAGGTGCATTGCACAGGGCGTGGTGCGCAGAAGTGTTCAGTAGATCCCTGCCGCTAGGGTTATAAGCCAGCACCACCCCTGGTCTAACTCAGGAAGAGAGCCATCTGTGCTGCCTCCCGCTGGGCGAGTCCCCGCCCCTCTGCCTCCCCTCGCAGGCAGCTGCACTTCCCTTGAGCCAAGGATGAGCCAGCACAGGCTTTGGGTTTGCTTTGAGTGAGGCTTTAGCACAAACAGCACACAGGTCAGGGAGCAGCTCAGCCTCCAGGAGCAGCCTGATTTGGAGCACTGTGCGGCATCCCATCAAACCTCAGCCGTGTGCAAGGGGGTGGACAGCGCCCCCCACCCCTCTCCCCTCCACCCTGCCCTGAGGGCCCTGGTCACCAGTGGCACCACTCCCAGGCTGCAAGCAGATATGGGAGAGAACAGGTGGCCAGTAAGCAGCTTCTATCGAATAAAGATTGGAGAGGGGCCGGGGTGGGGTGGGGGGGTCATTCTGATATTTAAGTCATTTATTTTAGCTCTGTACGTGGTGAATTTCAGTTCCTCGTTTATGCCTCTTCTTAAAAATCGTCTTCAGAGACATTTGTGTGAATGAGGAAGGAAAGGTTGCTTCCTTTACAGGTCCGGAACCTGAAACATGGCGGGGCTCATGTGCCACGTGGCTCAGTTAGTGAGAGCCTGGGGTCAGAACCCACACATTCCAGCCCTAAGGGGGTTTTTACTCACCCCCCCCCACATACTGGCTGAGCCCCTGCTGAGTGCCACACACATATTGTCTGCACGCCGGGAGGGCCTTCTAAGCCGAGGAAACTGTATGGGCAAAGGCCCTGGGGTAGGGTGAGGAGCTTGGCCCAGGGTGAGCTGGGACACAGCAGAGACCCAGCCGGCCACTGGAGCCTGAGGCTGCACCAGGGATCTTGCGCTGTACCCAGCGGTCAAAGTGGAGCCAGAAGAATTTCCAGCAGTGCGGTGGCAGCGATCCAGTTTGTGCCCTCTCCTTCCTGACCCTAGGGCCAGCATCTGTCTCCCCAGGTCTTGAGGCCAGCCCAGGGGGTCACAGGGGTTCGTTCGTATGCCAGATACCACCCAGCCATGGCCCTCAGTTTGGTCCCACTGGGCGAAGATCAGGGCCAGGGTGTAACAGTTGGGTTGAGTTCCCCGCTGTAGGACCTGGGCACACGTCTCAGCCGTTCTGAGCTCTCCGTTCCCATGTGAGTAGAAGACTGGGCCTAGTTGTACACTCAGGGCTCCCGTGAGGGTGCAGCACACCCAGGGGGCCTGGGGACAGGATCCCACCCATGTTGGTCTTTCTCCATGTCAGTCCACCTTCTGGTTAGCTGATGGATCGTGACCCTGGGGCTGGCAGGAGTGCTGGGGGCCGTCAGGGGGCTACTCGCCGCCCCTGAACTCCACACGTGACGGCCTCGTGTGTCTCTTCCCAGCTGGCTGAAACCTGACATGGGGAAGAAGGCCAAACACAAGACTCAAATTAAAAAGAAAACTTTGAATCCTGAATTCAATGAGGTAAGACGGCCCCATTTTTTTTTTTTTTTGTCATGCATGGAATGTTTCCTGTTTCTGAGAAAGAAACAAATTCCTACTGAAATGTTGGGAATCGCAACCATGAAAACAAATAAACAAACAAACAAACAAGAAAACCCTTTCTGCATTGATCAGCTTGAATTATCTGAAGGAGAGGGAGTGAGTTCCTTGTCACTGGAGGGAATCAAGACTAAGAAAAGCCCACAGATGAGGAGTACCACAGAGAGGAAGCTGTGTTTGAATCAGATGGCCACCAATGTCTTTACAACTCAAAAAGATTACAAGTCTAGAAACTTCACAAGTCTAGCAAACTGAAATCAGATGAAACACACGGCCGGCAATGCCCACCACCCCTCCCCCACGCCCCCGCTGGTGTGGCTGTGTCCCTCCCGTCCCGCGGCCCTCCAGGGCGTCACTTCCTGCGGGGTGCCCGTCTGGGCGCCCATGGTTGTGCTGCTTCCTCTGTGTTCCTGTGGCTGCTGCCTCGGCCTGGCTCTGGAATTCCTTGCTTGGGCCACCGCAGTCGACCCTGGCTCGCTTCTCTGTGCCTGGCACCCTCCCCACCGACGGGGGAGCCCTGAGACACAGCGGCCGTCCAGTGTCAGCGCGACCGTCAAGCCCTCGCCTCCCCACTTCCTCGTCTCGCACACACACACCCCCTCCCCAGGTCCCACGAAGCTCCGCTCAGGTCCCTCTGCACCCAGTGCTCCTGGGCCTGGTCTGGCCTCTTTCTCTCTTCCTCCCTGGCAAACTCTGCTTCCTCCCTCAAGACCCAACAGCTACACATCCCCCACCTCCACCACGCTGTCTCTCCAGACTCCAGATGTCTGCTGACGAGCCCGTCTGCCACGGAGGAGCCTGGGGTATGCGTGGAGTTCATGGAGGACTGGGTGGAGGGCAGAGTGGAAGGATGGGTCGGTTCTGATCTGAGCCACGAGCCCAGCTCCATCTCCAATGAAGAGGAAGAAGAGAGGCAGGGTCAGGGTGCCTTGAGACCCTGGTCCCAAGCCTGGGGCCCGCCCCAGCACGACTGCCCACCCAGAGCAGGCTCCAGGCCCCTGGGGCAGCCCCCACCCCCACCCCGTGTTGCTCTTCCAGCCAAGTTCTCCTTGCTTGGTCCCGCCCCTGAGCTCTGAGGTCAGGTCAGACCTGGGAGGGTTGATTTTTAAGCACAGGTTGAGTACAACACAGCAGATTTCGTGTTGTCTTTAACCCATGCACCCACACGCAGGTGCACAGGAACACACATGGGGGCCGATCCCAGAGCACTGACACACGCAGTTCAGCCGCTCCCCCCGGCGCCCGCTCTCTGCTTCTCAAATCCTGAGTCCTGAGCTGCCGCCCTGCCCTCTCCTGGAACCTGAATGAGTCACAAGATGAGAAATCCATGGCCAGTAAACTCACTCACACCCAAGAAAACGCAGGCCAGGACCAAACCCAGCCTGTCGCAAACGCACGGCAGGTGCTGCCGCTCGGTGCCAGCGAGTACGCTGGGAACACACACTGCGCTGGCGAGGAAATCCAGCCGGCCTGGCCGTTGAGGGGGTGTTTGTCAAAATACTTCAACAGCGGTGAAACACCTTTAAAGTCTGCCTTTTGGGGGGTAGGTGATCACAGCCAAACGTGGCAAGTTTCAGAAGGTCCCAGAGTCCCCCTCGAGATGGCCCTCCCCTCGCAGCCTGCCCAGCCTAGGAAGCAACCATCATGTGTAGTTTCTGAGCAAACACACGTCTGACCAGCTTTCTGTCACACACAGATAGCCCCACAGTGCACCTGCCATCTTCCGTCGTAAAGTTTTACAAACTGGGCTGGTGCTCTGGTGCAGTGGGGTAGCCATTGCCTGCGATGCCAGCATCCCATCTGCGTGCTGGTTCAACAAGTCCTGGCTGCTCTGTTTCCGATCCAGCCCCCTGCTCATGTGCCTGGGAAAGTAGCAGAGGATGGCCCAAGTCCTTGGGCCCCTGCCACCCATGCAGGAGACCCTGATGGAGCTCCAGGCTCCTGGCTTTGGGCCTGGCCCAGGCCTGGCTGTTGTGGCCATTTGGGGAGTGAGCCAGGAGATAGAAGTTCTCTTTCGCTCTCTGTCTCTCCCTCTGTCTTTGTCACTCTGCCTTTCAAATAAATAAATAAGTCTTTACCAAGAAAACGTACAAACTGAGAAATTCATTTCTCAGAATTTACCCAGAATAAATCACCACGGATGTACATAGTGATTTGGCTGCAAGGGAGCCATTTGTGGTGTCACAATAGTGGGAAACGGACAACAGCCTAAATACTCAACTCTGACGATTAGGTCCTATCACAGCACAGAGCCATCAGAGTAAGGAGGGAGAAAGATGTTTGAAGACTATTTGCAAGCACGCTGTTGTCTTTCACCATTGATGCCAAGGTAGAGGCAGGACACTGCATTGTCACACATTCAGTACTGTTTCTTTTTTAGAAACACATCAGTGTAGGGGCCGGCGCTGTAGAGCAGTGGGTTAAGCTGCCGTCTGCAGTACCGGCATCCCATATGGGTGCTGGTTCGAGTCCCGGCTGCTCCATTTCTAATCCAGCTCCCTACTGATGTGCCTGGGAAAGCAGCAAAGGATAACCCAAGTGCATGGGCTCCTGCACCCATGTGGGAAGACCTGGAAGAAGCTCCTGGCTCCTGGCTTCAGCCTGGTCCAGTCCAGGCTGCTGCCACCATCTGGGGAGTGAACCAGCGAATGGAAGATCTCTCCCCCCGCCCCCCATCTCCCCTTCTCTCTCTCTAATTCTGACTTTAAGTCAATCAATCAGTGTTTAAAAAGAAACACATCCATGTGGACACACACGGGGGAATCTTAGCAGTGGCTGTTCTTGGGTAGTTGGATTACAGGGTTTTTTTTGTTTGTTTTTCCTCCCTAATGTTTTAACAGCAAACAGGAATGAATGTTATAATTGGCAGATAAAGTCATTTCTTTAGAATATTGGCTTGTTGGGGAAAGTAAGGACTCGGCCTGCTTGGGCCTCCCTCGGTCCCTGCGCGGTGAGCGGGAGCCCCTGCAGAAGCCCCCGGAGGCCAGGACCGGGCCCACGCTCATCCATTGAGGCCTGAGCAGCGGCAGCCGCGTAGCCCCCAGCCGCCTTCCTGGCCAGGGTCACAGAGCCCACCGGGAAGCTTGCCGGGGGCTGCGCCGCAGAGCATTTGCCGAGAGGGGATTCCTGCGCCCGGGACGAAGGCTCGAGGAGGAGGCCCACCGTGCTTCCAGGACGCGGGCTCTCAGCTCCCGGTGCCGAAGGCTCAGGGGACCTTGTCACTCACCCGTGTTTCATTGCATGCAGGAGTTTTTCTACGACATCAAACACAGTGACCTGGCAAAGAAGTCCCTGGACATCTCGGTCTGGGACTATGACATCGGCAAATCCAACGACTATATCGGTGAGTGCGCCGACGACGGCAGACAAGCCCCGCCTTCTCCCCAGCGGGGCTGCAGAGGGTGAAGCCACGAAATGTGAGGTTGGGACGCGGCAGCCCGACTCTGGGACGCCTGTCTGGGCAGGGACTCGCACGCTAGTTAGGTGGTGGGAGTGAGCCGCAGTGGGGTCATGACGTCGCACAGAGGCAGAGGCGCCCTCCCTGGTCTGTGTGCGAGCCCGGGAGGGAGGGCTCCATGATCCCAGCCCCCGGGAATGACGAGGAAGAAACCTCATTCCAACAGGCACAGGGAACAGACAAGGGCACAGCCTGGGCTGGGCGGGGAAGGGCGGGACCGGGCAGGGGGAGGGATGATGGGATTCTGGGGACCCACGACTCAGAAGCTGCAGTGGGAGGGGCGCGCACCTGCGGGGAGTATGAGCAATGGACATGGACGTTAGGACCCGGTGTGCAGTAGGGAGCCACTGCGGGTTCTTGAAGCAGAGTGGGCTGGGACCAGCGACACTCACGGCCCGGACAGGGCAGCCACAGCCTCAGCCGGGGGTGCTGGGGAGAGAGGCCACTGCTCAGCGGCAGGGCTCCCCTTCGGTGCCCATTCGGGTCTCGAGCGAGGACCCTGGGCATTCCTCTGTCTGACCAGCCGCCTGTCTCCCAACCCCACCCCTTGCAGGGGGCTGCCAGCTGGGGATCTCGGCCAAGGGCGAGCGCCTGAGGCACTGGTACGAGTGTCTGAAGAACAAGGACAAGAAGATCGAGCGCTGGCACCAGCTACAGAACGAGAACCACGTGTCCAGCGACTAGGACGGGTGGGGGGGACCTGCCTCCCAGTCACCCCGGCCACCCGCACTCCAGCCCCTTCTCTGAGCCCCGCCCCGCCCCAGCCCCGAGTCCTGGCCGTCCTGCTGAGCCTGCCTTCCAGGACGCATCTCGCCCCGGGCACCCTGCCTCCCCACCCAATGCTGGGACGCAGGCTCCGACCCCAGGATGGAGCGGCGGGGCTTGGGGGGGTGTCTGTAATGGGGTTGTTGGTCTGAGAGCCTGTCCCGTAGAGGACAAAGCCCCCTCGTCACTCGGGACTGTTTTGAGACCGTCCTGGCTGTGACCGTGCCCACGCCAGCCTTCATCCCTGTGTCCTGTCTGCACGTGGCCTGTGCCCAGCAGAGGGGGCGATGCCGTGAAGACAGGCTTGGGGCAGGCGTGGAGCCCCCACAAAAGCACACCCCGGACAGGACAGGAGCGAGCTCACATCCACAGAGGGGCCCGAAGCCCCCTCAGGATGTAGCCTACCTGCTTCCCCTCTCTCTCACCTCCTCCCATCATGTTCTGTCACCTCCCTCTGCGCTCCCTCAGCTCCTTGTCACCCTGAGCCTCCCCTCTCCCATCACTCAGCTGTTCTCTGCACCCCCTGCCTCGCTCCCTGTCCCCATCTCAGCATCGCCCAGGGGGTTGCAACGGCCTCAGCCCCCGCCTCCCCCCCACCCCCCGCCCGGCCGCAGACTCTGCCAAAGCAGCCAGAACCTCAGGGGCCCAGGCTTCCTAAATCCCCCCCCATGCACCCGGTCAGATGTCCCAGGGCCCCGGGCCAGCTGCCAGGCAGTGGCCCCGTGGAGACGCCTGCAGAGGGGCTTCCTCCGCCTCCAGTGCAGGTGCAGGGCTGAGGGGCCTCCCGCGAAGCTCCAAGCCTTCTTCCTTTACTGCGCCGAGTTCCATGACCAAACGACCCTGCCCAGGGCGCTCTGCTCAGCCCACCCTGGCGTCCTCTCACTGGAACCGCCCTGAGACCCTGTCTCCCACGGTCTCTCTCTGTCTCTTGCACCCGCTTGACCCAGTTTTCCCAGGGAGAAGCAAATCACATCGCGAACATAAAACTGGAGCACGGCTGGCCCTGGCGCCCGAGGCTGCTGGTGGTGCCATGTGTCATGGTGAACCAGAGGCTGGGGTCAGGCAGGCTTCCGTGCCCCGCGGAGAAGGGTCTCACCCCAGGAATGCTTCCCCATCTACACATACCTTACCCCGTGATTTCCCGTCATCCTCCACAGAAGGCAACAGACCAGCAGACAAGTTCTGACCCCCCACCCACTTGCACACTCACCTTCCCCTTGCAAGCCCTCCACCCCAGCACCCAGCCCCAGGGCCCTGGAGGTCTTGTTTCTCCCCTCAAAGAACCATTTTCCAAACACCCAGCTAGTTACCTTCCCTGGATAGCTGGGGACGGCCAGGCTGCTGTCTTCCTTTTTTGTTCGTTTTGTGTTTTTAGATTGATCTAATTATTAAAAAGGCAGAGTGACAGAGAAAGAGAGCCCTTCCCTCTACTGGCCACTCCACAAATGGCCACAATGGCCAGGGCTGGGTCAGGCCAAAGCCAGGAGCCAGGAACTCCATCGGGGTCTCCCACGTGGACAGCAGGGGCCCAAGCACTTGGGCCATCCTCCTCTGCCTTCCCAGGCACATGAGCAGAGAACTGGATTGGAAGTGGAGCAGCTGGGACTCGAACCCGCACTGCAATATGGGATGCCAGCGTAGCAAGCAGCAGCTTAACCTGCTGCACCCCAACACCCACCCCCCATCTTTCTTGACCTTGTCTTTCTGCCTCCATGTCCTGTGGCACCTGCTCTCGGCCCCCTCCTTCCACGGTTGGCCCTTAGGGGACAGCATGCTGGCTGTGCCACGCAAGCCTGACACTGGCATTGGCGCTGGAATCGGCATGCGGCAAGCTCCCGGTGCCCTGAGCCTGGGCACATGCTTTCCTCGACACATGTAACGGCCTCCCACGTAGGATACACACACACCCTCTCCGGTGCATGCCGACCGCCTTTCTGTGTGATGATGTAGCCAAAAATAAAGTAGGAATATCCAAGACAATGGGTGGTCTCCATTTGTGCTTTCCGGTTTCTGGGAGTTCTGCCTGCCCACCAGCACACACGCTATTCAGATCACATTTAGTGAGCAGCTACTGTGTTGCCGGCGCTGGAGATACACCAGGTGAACTGCACAGAGGGGGGTCTCCCCCACATGAGGCTGGGTCTCTCCCTGGGCAGGTGGTCCCGGGTCTTCGTAGACCACATTCTGTGGTGCTCACCCAACAGAGAGGCCCTGCCCCTCTCAGGCACACCCCCGGGAAGTCCCGAGGGCTGTGGAATCAGATGTCACTGGACTGAAAGTGGTGGTGGGACTGAGCCAGGACGCAGGGCAGGCCACTTCCATCGGAGAGATGAAGAGGGGAGTGAGACAGAGCCTTCGTGTTACACAGGGGCAGTGCCGTCAGGAGCTGGATGGCCGGACTCGTTCCTCCTGCACGGAGCGTCAGCCACCTCCCATGCATTCTGGCACCTTCCAGCCCCCAGTGAGCACCCGCAGACGGTCCTCACTGGAGTCTGGTGGTCCTGAACGTGAGCTGGGCTGGCACTCGTTTTCCGTACGGCTGCTTCTCCTGGCTGCACCCGGTCCCCAAAGCACTTAATCCAGGGGTCAGGGATGGCGGTCATTTCCCAGGAGGCATCAGTTCTGTTCTTCTGAAACCTCTTTCAGGTCGAGTTTGAGACCATTTCCTTTTCTTGCTCCCTTATGCGTGTTAGAGCCCCCTGGGAGATTCGTTTGCAACACATCCATGCTCTCCCCCACCTCCCTGCAAACTCTGCGCAAGTCTGAGGGTTGGGTGAATATTTGAACATAGCCCCTGGTCAGATTCTTGTGATTGCCACCTCTTTAATGCCTTGGAAAACCTACAGCACTCAAAGTTGGTGAATTATTCCTGCAGTTCAGCTATCCACCACCAGGTGGCGAAAGGTACCCGCTAGGGACATGCCAGCCTCACCAGACACTGTGCTCACGGCAGGCATCACTAATCAATACACCATTCTTTCCTATAGGGCCCTTGTGGCACTTTCTGGCTCCTCTCAACACAGCATCCCAGGAGGCCACCATCAGTCGTGGGTGGCAGTTGAGAAGAAACCTAATTTCCACCCTAAAGTAGCCGACCTCTCTCCCCAGCAGCGGCCCGGACCAGCAGGCTGAGAGGGACACCCTGGGACAGGCACGGCCTGGCCAATCCTGCTTTTCCTCCTCCACTTTCAAAGACTTCAGGGCTGACTCCGAGGACGGGGTCTCGGGCGCTGACACTGGCTCTCTTGCTGACTGGAATGTAGGCGTGTCACAACCCCCCCACATCCACCCTCAGCACAGCCTGTAGCAAGCGATATCTTTGATAAACACGCACTCCCGCTGCTCGCAGCCCGTTGGCTCTGAGAGGCCCCTGCTTCCCGGCTGCATCTGGCCTTAGGTGAAAGTGAACAGTTGGGGCCGGCGCTGTGGTGTAGCAGGTAAAGCTGCCGCCTGCAGTGCCAGCATTCCATATGAGCGCCGGTTCGAGTCCTGGCTGCTCCACTTCCAATCCAGCTCTCTGCTATGGCCTGGGAAAGCAGTAGAAGATGGCCCAAGTGCTTGGGCCCCTGCACCTGCGTGGGAGACCTGGAAGAAGCTCCTGGCTCCTGGCTTTGGATCGCAGCTCCAGCTGTTGTGGCCAACTGGGGAGTGAACCAGCAGATGTCTCTGTCTCTACCTCTGCCTCTCTGTAACTCTGACTTTCAAATAAATAAATAAATCTTATGGGGGGGGGGCAGTGTTAGGCTGCAGAAGTGAGGTGTCAGTTACCGATGAGCTGGTGGAGAGAGATGCTTCCTTGGTGTTTACAGACTACTCCATCCACCACAGTTCCCAAGCTTAACCCGAACGTTCGTCAGCCAGACCCCGCTGCAGAAAACACAGCTCAGCGCATTTCAAGGAAGATGGAGCTCATATAACGTGCTCTCTACCACAATGGAATTAAGCAGGAAATCAATGAAGAGACGCTACCACACCCCAAAGCATGTGGCGATAAAGTGATAGGCTTCTCCGTGTCACCGGGGCAGAGAAGGGGTCTCAGGAGAAACAGTCAAATATTTGGAACTAAATGAAGTGGGGCAGCAGCCTGTGACAGTGTGAGGGATGCAGCAAAGGCAGCGGCCGAAATCCACAGCGCGGAACGCACTTACGATGAGTCTCTCGGAAGTTCGGGGAAGTGCACATTTTTACATCAACATCTTTTTGAAAGATTTCTTAAAAGAGATTTTTATTTATTTGAAATGGAGACCGAGAGAAAGACCCCTCTGCCACCTGCTGGTTCTCTCCCCAAATGTCCATAGCAGCCAGGACTGGGCCAGGCCAAAGCCAGGCGGCAGGAGCTGCCTCCGGGTCTCCCACGCGGGTGGCAGGGGCCCACGGACTTGAGCCATCTGCTGCCATCTCCCAGGGTGTGCACCAGCAGGAAGCTGGGTGGGAAGTGGAGCCGGGACTCAGGCCTGGGCACGCTGACACCAGGTGCAGGTATCCCATGCAATGCATTAGCTACTGCGCCGAGTGTCTGCCCCGGGACACCAGTTTTGCAAAAGAAGAAAAAGAGAGGGAGGGAGAGACGCGTGGTTGCATGACTACCTGTGCACTAACATAGAAAGCATCTGAGAAGGTCTACACCACGTTTGTAGTGATGGTTTTTGAGTTTTAGGATCATGGAGTCTTTTTTAAGATTTTATTTATTTATTTGAGAGGCAGAGTTACAGACAGTGAAAGAGGGAGAGATCTTCCATCCGCTGGTTCACTCCCCAGTTGGCGCAATGGCCAGAGCTGTACTGATCCGAAGCCAGGAGCCAGGAGCCTCCCCCTGGTCTCCCACTTGGGTCATCTTTGGCTGCTTTTCCAGGCCACAGGAGAGAGCTGATGGGAAGAGGAGCAGCCAGGACTCGAACCGGTGCCCATATGGAATGCTGGTGCTGCAGGCAGAGGATTAACCTAGTGAGCCTCAGCGCTGGCCCCAGGATTATGGATTCTTTAAAAAAAAAAAATTTGTTTATTCAAAAGGCAAGAGTAACAGAGAGTGTGGGAGAGACAGAGAGAAGGAGAGGTCCTCCATTCACTGGCTCACTCCTCAAATGGCCACAATAGTCAAGGCTGGGCTGAGCCAAAGTCAGGAGCTGGGAGCTGCATCCCGCTTTCCCGCGTGGTGGCAGGGACCTAGGCACTCGCTGTTTTCACGGGTGCATCAGCGGGGAGCTGGACCAGAGACAGAGCAGCCAGGCCTCGGGCCTGCGCTTGGTGTGGGATGTTGGCGCGGCCACAGGGCCACTTGCCGCTCCGGAACACCAGGCCCTGGACCGGCTTTCTCCTCCTGGCTTGGAGCTTACTCCTTCCCAGCAACACGTGTGCATAGTTATAAAAAATCCCGGAGACTGTAATTTTGCCGACAACAAACAATGACCAAGAAGGAAGCCGGAGATCTGTTTATACCCGACTCACAGAAGTTACACGTTCCTGGGGCACGCGCGCTGCACAGACCCCAATGTCTGAATCCCGGTAAACCAGTGTATCTCCTCGTCTATCATTTCTTTAACATGAAAACCTTCAAAGTCCTTTCTTCTAACTTCCTTGGTTGTTTAAAAGATTATGCAGGGGCTGGCACTGTGGCGTAGCAGGTAAAGTTGCTGCCTGCAGCGCCGCCATCCCATATGGACATAGGTTCGAGTCCTGGCTGCTCCATTTCCCATCCAGCTCTCTTCTGTGGCCTAGGATAGCAGTAGAAGATGGCCCAGGTCCTTGGGGCCCCTGCCACCCACATGGGGGACCGGGAAGAAGCTCCTGGCTCCTGACTTTGGCCCGGCCCTGCTCCGGCCATTGCTGCCATCTGGGGAGTGAACCGGTGGATGGAAGACCCCTCTCTCTGTCTCTCCCTCTCTGACTCTGCCTTTCAAATAAATAAATCTTAAAAAAAAAAAAAAAGGATTCTGCAGCAGTCCGTTCTCATCTATAATCACCCGACTGTGCAACAGGACCGGAACTTCCTCATGTGCTAAAGGCCAGCAGCACCTGTTCATAAGCACCTCCCGGCTCCCTCTGCCCTCTGCGAGAACCACTGTCTTCCACCCCACTTCTGGGCCTGGCTGCTTTCATCAGGCAGTGAGCTCCAGTTCCAGCCACATTGTGGGAATGTGGCCAGGCTTCCGGGCAAGGAACAAAGAGGAAGTTTCCAAGAGTGCAGCAGCTGCCGGCTCAGCCCAGCGGCGGCCGAGGAGGAAACGCTGGGATCAGAGGTGAGGCTCCTCCCATCCAAGGAAACGAAACCAGCAGCTGTCCAGGCTCTGCTGCACACGGGAGCCCGCGGGGCAGTTGGGCCATGGCTACCTGCAGCAGGATGGAGCTCGCCAATACCCCAGCCCGATTTCTGGACAAGTTCATCGAAGACCATCTCCTGCCGGACACCCGTTTCCGCGAGCAGGTCAGGGAAGCTGTGGACATCATATGCACTTTCCTCAAGGAGAGGTGCTTCCGAGGGGCCACCCACCGCATGCGGGTCTCAAAGGTGGTGAAGGTGAGTGTGCGGCGCAGAGAGCGAGGGAGCGGACACAAAGACCCCCGTGCAGACCGGGGAGGGGGGCTGGGGGGGCGGAGCTGTCTTTGGGGCTGGTGGTGTGTGACTGAGCCACAGCAGACCAGTAGCTACAGCTTGACAAAATCGGTCCTGGGGGAGTCCTGGGCCCCCGGGGAGCAGCATGAATCCTGTGGGGAGCAACCCGGACTAGACTAAGTTACTCGAATTAAGACTTATTCTATGCATCTGCTCTCCCACAATATGGCGCTGGGAGAGAAGAAAACAGCTTCTACGCAGCTGCCTCCAGTTCAGCCAATAAACTGTAGGACTTGCTCCTGATTGGAGGAGAGCAGCGTACTTGGCGTGTGGGCAGCCGAGTTAGCATTGGCAGAGGAGGACTATAAAGGAGGAGAGAGACAGCATGCACCAGGAACATCTAAGGGGAACATCTAAGGGGAACACCTGTGCAGCCCCCCAGAGAGCCGGCCGGCAGTGTGCCGCTCCCCTGCGGAAGTGGGGAATGTGGCCAGGGGGAACTGCCCTTCCACAGAGGTGGAAGGGACAGTAGCCAACCCGGGAAGAACCAGCAGCAAACCCGGGGAGGGCCGAGCAGACGAAAGAACAGCGCAGGGTCCTGTGTCGTTCCTCCACGAAGAGGGGGAGTGACAGAATCCCTGTGCTCTAAGGCACTTCTGACTCGGAGGTGGGGAGACGGAGCCCCGCCCTGGTGGGCGCCTTGTGGGCCAGGCTGGGTCTCCCCATCTCTGACAGCTCAGGAACTCGGGCAAAGAATCTGGTTGAAAGCAGGTAGCACCTGCTGGCTGCGAGACCTTGAACAAGTCCCTGCTCTGTGCCCAGTGTCCTCACCGTAATTTCCCACACCTCCCAGCGTTGTGCGGGCCCCCCGCCCCGCACGAGCCAGTCTGGGGGGCAGAATAACACAGGGTGCTGCACAGAGCTCCTGGAAAAGGAATTCAAAGGTAAGCTAGAGGCTGGCATTTGGTCTCGCGGTTAAGGTGCCACTCGGGGTGCCTGCATCCACAGTTGAGGGGAGCTGGGGTTCAGGGCCTACCCCCGCTCCAGGGTCCAGCTTCCTGGGAGGGAGGCAGCGGCTGTGGGTCCCTGCCACCCACACAGGGGCCTGGACCATGGGCATTTGGGGGAACAAACTACTGTCAGCAGTTCTAAATAAAATTCAATGCATATGAATTAATTTTCTAAAAGTACCTTTGGGTGCAAAACAACTTTTGAAATGCACTCGTAAATTTCTCATTCTATGTGTTTGTCATGAACTTCTCGAAGGACCTAGTCAACTGTTTCAAACTTTCTTGCACCAAAATGAACTGATCTTTCAATTTTTTTTTTTTTGACAGGCAGAGTGGACAGTGAGAAAGAGAGACAGAGAGAAAGGTCCTCCTCTTGCCATCGGCTCACCCTCCAATGGCCGCCGCGGCCGGCGTGCCGCGGCCGGTCAATTTTGTTTTGATGGGATTTTTTTACACTGTCACTGGGACCTGCTTCCCCATGTGTGAAATGCAAACTCATAATAGCAGCACCTCACTCTTGGGGTCATATGGGCAGTGGCTGGGCTGGGCCATGTTAGTGGCTGCTCCCTTCTCTTTATTTGGGAAGGCTCCTCTCCCTGCACCTGATTATCCTTGTGGCCCTTTTCCAGGGCGGCTCCTCGGGCAAAGGCACGGCCCTGAGAGGCCGATCGGATGCTGACCTGGTCGTCTTCCTCACGAACCTCACGAGTTTTCACGAGCAGCTAGAGAAGCGGCGTGAGTTCATCCGGGAAATTCGCTCGCAGCTGAAAGCCTGCCAGAGAGAGAAGATGTTCGAAGTGACGTTTGCGCTGACGCAACGGTCCAACCCCCGCGTGCTCAGCTTTGAGCTGCGCTCCCTCCAGCGCCAGCAGCAGGTGGAGTTTGACGTGCTGCCTGCCTTCGACGCCCTGGGTGAGTGCCCTGGGCCTCCTCTGTTTCTGAGCAGAAATCGCGCATGCGTTGAGTTCTACCCACTACGGCGTCCCTGGAGCGCAGGTGGAGGGAGGGAGGGATTTTAGGGTTCCTTGTCCTAATTAAGGTTCTCATCCTTCACTCAAAGTGCCACATTCGGGGGCCAAGATTCCATTAGAACACGTGTTCGGCTTGCTAGTTCTTTTTGTGGCAAAGCGTGCTGATTTTACCTTTTGAAACATCGATTTGGCCTAAAGTTCCTGCTAATATCACCTTTATTCCGACACATAAGAAAGCCTCATTCTGGGCTATTTACGTAGATAGCCCAACCCTCAGCATAAGATATAGATGGCTTAATGTGTATCTAACGCACACACGTGCACAGCAATGCTTACATAAGACATCAGGCTCTGCAGAGCCTGGCACACAGCAGCTCATCAGAAATGAGTTCCCTAACATACGAGGAGGCACCTCAGGCCACCACAGTCAACTCACGGGGAAGAGTTTTTGGACTATTTTAGGTTTTCAATTTTTTTTTTTTTTTTGAGGGCAGCACAGCGCCCTCTATCGGACACTGTGAAAACTGCTACTATCAAGTTGTTCCAACAGAACTACTCCGTAAAGGGGACTGTTAGGGACTTACTTGGGCCTAGAGGAGCCATAAAAATATATATATACATATAATGCAGATAGATGCTCTAAAGACACCAGGAAGTGAGCAACTTCAGCATTGTCTCCTTTGTGCCAGGTCCTGTGTGCAGGGGTACGAGGTGGGGAGGAACAGGGATGCCAGCAGGGGGCGCTGCAGGGCCCCGGGGGCGAGGGAGCCGGGGCGCTGGGGAGCGCAGAGGCTGAGACCCAGGAGGGGCTCGGGCTCAGGGGAGCCGGTCCCGCAGGCCCTGCCATCTTGGCCACGGTCTTCTCGGGGGCGCCGTGGGCCGGCACGAGCAAACGCGTCCTGAGATCCGCGTTTCCGTGGCATGGCGCTGCTGACTGCGGTGCGGAAACTGATGGGAGGAGAGGCAGCGCGTGGCGTCCGGTGGCTGTGCACCGAGCAGGGGCTGCAAGCCAGGCTCAACGGCAAACGCTTCTGCAGCATTCCGTCGAGCACCGCGAGCGACGCGGACGCGGCCTGGCGCCTCCTAGGCGAGCTCGCGGCTGTGTGGCCATCACCGCGTGCGCTTACACAAACCCAGCGCCCCAGCTCACCACCCAGCAGGGCTAGGAGCCAGGAGCCGAGGGCACAGCCCGGCACTCCCACGTGGGTGGCAGGGAGCCACCTCCCAGGGTCTGCACTCCTGGGAAGCTGGGGCCGGGAATGCAACCCGGACCCTCCGGTGTGGGACGCAGGCGTCTCAACCCACTCCCCTGCGCACTGCGCTCTGACCTGCGCGGCACTTGAGTTAGGCCTCGAGCTCTGACATCACAGCGAGATGACGTCACTAGGCATCGTTTTACGGATCACAGACGGCGAATACGGAGTGGTGTTTGCTGGGATAAAAACTCACTGGGATGCTGCAGTGAATAGGAAAGGCGGGGGGTGGGGGGCTCTTTCAGACAGGGCCCCTTGGTCGAGGCGGGAGTGAGGAGCGGGAGCCAGGGCACACGGACCTCCCCGGGCCAGCACGGGGACGTGCCTTTCCAACCAGAGTCGTGGGAAGCGAGCAGTCGGACCCCAAGAGACCGCCCCACGTGCTGGGTGGAGAAGCCTGAGGAGGTAGCAGGTGCTCCAGCCCAGCAGGGAGCAGGCGCGGAGCAGCGGGGAGGGAGGATGGGGGGGGGGGGCGGGCCTGAGGCTTCCTGGCCTCGGGTCTGCAGTGAGGGAGAGGTGGAGGCAGAACCCCAAGACCAGCCGCGGGCCCCGCCCCACAGGTCACGTGACCAGAGGCTACAGGCCACGCCCCCAAGTCTACGTGGACCTCATCGAGGAGTGCACCGCCCTGGGCAAGGAGGGCGAGTTCTCCACCTGCTTCACGGAGCTGCAGTGAGCCTTCCTGAAGCAGCGCCCCACCAAACTCAAGAGCCTCATCCGCCTCGTGAAGCACTGGTACCAGAGGGTACGGCCGGCGCGGGCGGGGAGCCGGGATGCGGTGGCCGCCGAACTCAGGGCAGTGCCTGGTGCGTAGAGGACGCTCCGCAGATCACTGCTGGCCCAATGCGTGCAGGCTGCGGCCACGCACGTGCACAGGCACACGCACACGTCCCCTGTCTCCCCTGTTTCTGCGTCCCTTCTCCTTACAGCGCTGTGGCGCGCGCAGTGGCTAAGCCGCCGCCTGCAGGGCCAGCATCCCATACGGGAGCCGGTCCGAGTCCCTGCTGCCCCAGATCCAGCTCCCTGCTAAGGTTGCTGGGAAAGCAGCAGAAGATGGCCCCAGGGCTTGGACCCCTGCGGCCCACATGCTGATTCTGGGCTCCTGGCTTCAGCCTGGCCCAACCCCGGCCACTCCTCTCCGCCCTTGTCACCCGAAAGCAATCATGGGTGTGGCTACAGAAGAGGGCAGCAGGCCGAGTTCAGCCCGCGGGCAGTGCACTCTGGGAAAGCTGGGCAGACCCGCTCTGTGTTCTCTCCTCTCAGTGTAAAGAGAGGTTTGTGAAGAAGCCACTGCCCCCGCAGTACGCCCTGGAGCTGCTGACCGTCTATGCCTGGGAGCGCGGGAGTGGCGAGACAGAGTTCAACACAGCCCGGGGGTTCCGCACTGTCCTGGAGTTGGTCACGCGTTACCAGCACCTGCGCATCTACTGGACAGTGTACTACGACTTTGCTGACCCCAGGGTGGGCCGCTACCTGGCCCAGCAGCTCGCCAAGCCCAGGTGCCCCTCCCCACACTGCTGAGCCTACACCCAAGGGAACCCCTGCATGCGGCTGCCGCCCCATGGGAACAGGGCCGGCGCGGGGCGGGGGGGCTGCCTCCTGCCATGCTGGGTGCTGGACACCGGCACCCGCGTGGGAGCCCCCTCCCACCCCGTGAGGCAGGCATTACCCATCCCATCTTCCAGGTGGGCAAACTGAGGTTCTGAAGTTGTCTGAAACCCTGCAGAAAGTGGGAAGGAGCTTGCCCAGACCCTAACAGAAAGCGAGTTAAATGGCCGGCATTTGAACTAAAAGATCAGGCGCGCCGAGCCCCCACCCCACCCCGAGCAGGGCCCCAGTCAGCCCCTCACTGCCTCCGTGTGGCACTGCGTTTCCAGGCCTGTGATTCTGGACCCGGCCGACCCCACGGGAAACATGGCCACCGGGAACCGAAAAGGCTGGCGGCGGCTGGCACAAGAGGCAGACGCTTGGCTGACTCTACTATGCTTCCAGAACTGGGATGGCTCCCGGGTGTCCTCCTGGGACGTGCAGGTGAGAGCCCCCGCCCCTTCGCTGTCCCCAGGCCCCAGCCCCGGGGGAAGCGGCCGTTCCCGTGGTCCCAGGCAGGGTCCTCACTCCACGGAGGGCTCCTGGCATTGTAGGGTATGTGGAGGGTGGCGGCGAGCAGCAGTGGTGACCACTTTGTGGGCGTCTGCTTTGGCCAGGACGCTTCAGAAAGTGCGTGGGGAAAACGGATGGAGAGCGTGAGTTTATCTGGGCATTGATTTTCATAATGCTCATTTGCCAGGACTGTGTTGAGGCCCGTGTTCACTGCCACCACAACAGCCCTGTGAGGTGGGCTTCCTGTCCCACCGCCTCACCGCTGGGACCAAGGGGCTCAGGAAGAGGAAGTCCCTGGCGCAAGGGCAGCTGAGGGCGGGAATGCATGCATTCCGTGGATGCCTGAGGTGGTACTAGGGTGTGCCTAGCATCGCCCCCGCGCTGCACCTGCCGCGCGGGAGACCAGGGCAGCTGAGTGACAGGGCTGTGTCCCACAGCTGAGTAGGGGCACAAGACCCCAGCTCGGGTCTCTGCACTCTCAGGGGAGGGGTCTTTCAGAAGCACGGGGTCCTGTGCACGGGCGCACAGGGGACAGTGCCACTAGAATCAGGAGAGGAGGCCCCGGGGCGAGGCGGAAGGGGATGGAGGTGGAGCGGCTGCCCCAGCCAGCCTGGGAGCCGCGGTGGCCATGCAGGCTGTCCCACAGCAGATGGAGGTGGCCCAGCCCTTCCCGGCTGCTCAGGGCTCTGCGCTGCAGGTGGGCAGCTCGGCAGGTGCCAGCCCTTCCTCCAAGGGGCCCATCACGGGTCCAGTATGAGATGCAGCCCCCGAGTGGGAGGCCGGCTCCCCACCGTGATCCTGTGTCCCACCTTTCAGCCCGAAGTGCCCACAGCTGCTGGACAGGCCAAGGACAGCGGGATGTTAGCCATCCTTTGAGCGCCTGCACTGGGCGGCAGGAAGGGCTCCGACCTCCAACCTCCCCAGACCAGCCCGACGTTTCCCACACATCCCGGGCTCCCGCCCCCTGCCCTTCCCACACCCCTCAGCCCTCTTCCCCAACACAAGTGCCCTTACCCCAAGCCGAGGACATCCTACGACAGCGTCCTCAGAGACGATGAGAGAAGTGGAGAGGAGGGCGGAGTCTCGGCTTTGCTTCCCTGCTCTGCGCCCCGTGGGAGGGCCAGGGCCAGTGTATTCGCTGCACCAATAAAAATCACAGTGATTGCCACGTAGCGGTGTTTATTAGCTTCGAGGCACAGAGACAAGAAGCGTAGGTTGGTGTGTGTGCGTCTTCATCGATTCAGCTAGCATTGTGCACGGAACACCTGCTCTGTGCCAAGCATTGTTCCGGGCATTGGGAGTGCGGTGACGAGAAAAGTGGACAAAAGTCCCTGGCTCATGGAACGTTAACATTGAACAGCTCAGGAGTCCTCCGACTCTCCCAGCTGCTAACAGTCCTGAGACAAGCGGCCTGGGGTCATTCTGGTCCCTATCTCCAGGGAAAATTCTAGAACTGGGGCTGGTGTTGTGGCGCCACTTGGATTGCTGGCATCCCATGGGAGCTGGGTTGAGCCCCAGCACCACCACGTCCTATCAGCTCCCTGCTGATTGCTTGGGAAGGCAGCAGAGGATGGTTCAAGTCATTGGGCCCCTGCAAGACCTGGAAGAAGCTCCTGGCTCCTGGCTTCGGATTGGCTCAGCTCCAGCCGTTGCAGCCATTTGGGGAGTGAACCAGAGGATGAAGACCTCTCTCTCTCTGCCTCTGCCTCTGCCTCTCTCTGTCTGTAACTCTGCCTCTCAAATAAATAAATAAATCTGGAAAGAAGAAAGGAGAGAGGGAGGGAGGGAGGGAGAGGGAGAGAAAGCGTGCTCTTCTTAGCTGAGTGACAGTGGTCTGGTTCCTCCACACAACCGCTCCTCTGGGTGATTCCAGCATCCCTGTGGGGTGTGTTTTACTATTATTCTGATCACAAAGGAGGAGCCCCGGGCTCCACACGGCTCGGGCACTTGCTCAGGGTCACCTGCCCTTGGACCCTAAAGCCCTGTATCTCCATCACACGGTCCTCACGCTCCTTCATCCATGGAGGTCTCCTGTTTTCTCACTTGGGTGGCCATGGCAGCCAGAAGCCCCCCCTCACCCATCCACAGGCAGGAGAACATGGACGCCCCTGGCCGCCTGGACCCTCATCCAGCCGCTGTCCCACCCCCGAGTCCCCAGCGGCACCCACACTTGGTTCTGACCAGCTTTCTGGGCACCGTGCAGAATCAGCCCTCGCACCCTCCATGTGCGTAGGGAAGTTCTGCGTGATGGTTGCCCGGTGTTTCCCACGTGGGTAATCCACGCGCCGTCTTTGGAGAGTGTTTCACACTCAGAAACACGGAAATGGCACTGCAGGAAGCTGACCGAGCAAGCGGTGCGGTGGTTCAATGTGTGACTTAGCCGTTAATTCAGGCGCCGCCCACCTGGAGGCTTCCATCCGAAGCAGGACACTCTGGGATGGCTTTTGCAAAGGGCTCTATTTGGTTTTTTTTTTCTTCTGCAAATGACATGAGCTTGCTCCAGAAATCCAGGAGTTTGCGTTCTAATTCCCCAGCTGGGGACTGCCATCAACTCCACTTGGCATCCCGTCCCATGGTTTTCAAAAAGATTTTTTCATTTGCTTGGAAGGCAGAGCGGCAGAGAGAGGGAGAGACAAAGCGAGAAAGGGATCTGCCACCCGTTGGTTCACTCCCCGCATGGCCACAGCGGCTGGGGCTGAGCCAGGGTAAGCCAGGAGCTTTGGACATGGGTGGTAGGAGCCCAAGTACATGGACCGTCCTCTGCTGCTTTTCCAAGTGCATTAGCAGAGAGCTGGCTCAGAAGTGGAGCAGCCAGGACTGGAACCAGCAGTGTCCGTATGGGATATAGTGTTGCGGGCTGTGGCTTTAACCCCCTGAGCCACAGCGCCGGCCCTGTGGTGTGTTGACTCCCAGATACCAAACCTGTGGATGATAGGGCCACACTTAGTGTAGATTTGCACGGATAGTAGTGAAACCGACCTGCTTATTAACATTTCTGAATTAATAAGCTGTGTGGGTTCTTGCCATGAATTCAGAGAATTCTGAACATTGGTTCAAATAGACCAGGCAGCATGGTAAGTTTTTTAGGCTCTCTATTTAGTGAGAGAAATACAAAGAAGAGTGGGGGCTCTCTCTGTCTAAGGGAGAAAGGGAAGTCTACATCCATACCAAGCAGAGAGCAGGCCAGCAGCCACGTTTGGTTAAGAGCAGTCGCAAGCAGCTTGGCACGCGCTCTGAAGGCACGGGCAGCAGGGGCAACCAAGGGCAATGACAGGGAGGAAGGGTGGGGCCCACCTTGTGCCAGGCCGCTTAGCCACTTCCAAAGGGGTGTGGTCATGTAGCCTGAGTGGCAGGTGGGCCTACAGGTGGGGTCACTCAGGGGCGTGGTGAAGGCGTGGTCTTCCAGCTCACAAACACAATCTGTTGTATCCTACCCGCCTGCCTACATCATAGAGCCCAATGTAGAGTTTGCCATGTGTGTCTGGAACGCGCGGATGGAGCAATTTTAAAAACTGCCATTGAGTCCGTGTCTGGCTTGGTCGCCAGCTGCTTTGTTAAGCCCATGGATACCACACATGCCCATTGAGTTGAGGTGGGGGGGGGCACAGACTCGAAGTTGCCCATCTGGTGAGTGACAGCACTAAAACAAGCCCTAAACCGTCACCGGCAAAGTCTGCCCTGATGTCCCCGCGCCTCCTTGTCTACTGCACTGGAACCTGCCGCGGCTGGACAGGAGTCACCCTGGGAATCCTGCAGTGCACCCCCAAACTTCCACCGAGCTGAGGGTGCAAAAGAATCCAGTTAGGAAGCCTGCAAAGGAGGGGGTAGGAGAAGGAGGAGAAGGGGGAGGGAGAGGGAGGGAGAGGGGGATGGGGAGGGAGAGGAGGAGCAGGAGGAGAGGAGGGGGAGAAGGAGGAGGGGGAGGAGGGGAGGAGGAAGAGAAGAGGGAGGGGAAGGAGGAGGGAGGGCAAGGGGGAGGGGGAGGGAGGGGGAGGGGATGGGGGGGAGGAGGAGGAGTGGGGAGGAGGAGAGGAGTGAAAGCGGGGAAGGGAGTGGAGGAAGGGGAGGAGGAGGAAGAAGGGGAGGAGGAGGGGGAAGAGGAGGAGGAAGGAGGGAGAAATGAAACTGGAGCGAGAGGAGGAGACGGGAGAAACGAAAGCGAAAGCGGGCGGCGGGCCCGGCGGCCAGAGCGCTCGCGAGCCGCCATGGACGTGTACCGCACGCCCGCCGCCGCGCTGGACCGCCTGGTGGCGCGCAGCCTGCAGCCGGACGGCGACTTCGCGGGGCCGGCGCGGCGCGCCCTGGGCGCCCTGCTCGCGGCCCTGCGGGAGCGCGGGGGACGCGGGGGCGCCGCGGGGCAGCCGGCGCTGCGGGTGCGGAAAAGCGTGCAGGTGAGCGCGGGCCGCGGCTGGGGAAACTGAGGCACAGCCGGGCCGCGTGAGGAGCCCAGGCTGGAAGGGGTTCAGCCTGGATCCGCATCCAGGCCTTGCGATGCCCGCATCTGCCCCCCAGAGGCGGCTCTTCGCCCGTCCATCCCCTGGCCGCCTCCCCGGGCAGGCCTCTGTGCCTGAGCCCGGGATGAAGCAGGCGCCTGCCGCTGGCACAAAGCGCGGTGGACAGGAGTGGGTCGTGAAATGACCCCTGTCTCACTAGTCCTCACCTCCAGTGAGGTCGGGGTGATTGTCCCCATCTGATGGATGGAACAACTGAGGCTGCGCGTGGTTCAGCTTCTGTGCCTCGGGATGCCCTGGGGGGTGACCCCTGGGGTCCCGGGGTGGATGGAGGAAACCTGAGCGGGGTGAAGATTTGGAGCTTGGCTGGGGAGGGGGTGAGGACAGAGCCCAGAGCCCCTGAGTGGTCTCCTCCTGGAGAGGGGGGCAGCCTTGCAGCCTGGGAGGGTCTCTGTGCCCTGGAAAACCTGGGACGGAGCTCACACTTGGGTTCAGCTGCGGCCCTGTGGTGCCCGGAGGGGAGCAAGGGCCCCCGCTGGGGTCTGCAGGCGCTGGCCCCTCACTGGTAGGAGGTCAGATGCCAGGGCTGGGGTGGGCTGGGGGGGACAAGCCTGGGGCTTCCAGCTGGAGGAGAAAGCAAAGACAGGGATTGTGACACCCCACAGGGAGCCCCACACGTGCGTGCACACACATGCACAAACACACACGTGTGTGCATACACATGTGTACACATGCATGCATACACATGTGCTCATGCAAGCACATATGCACACTCACACATACACTCTCGCGTGCACACAGCAGGGCGGGAGAAGGGCCTCTGCCCCTCCCCCCAGCATCATCCCCAGACACCCCAGACACACGGGATCCCCCGTGTAGACGCGTGGATGGCAGTGCGTGTGGGTGAAACGGCGCAGGCGCTGCCGTGTCTTTCCGTGTCACACAGAGAGGAACACAGGGCGGCAGATGGGGCGAGAGCGCCCGCGACTCTTCCTTGGCCCAAGTTTGAAAACCTTCATAATGAAAAGCTGTGCAGAGCCGGGAGAGAGCAGCCTGGGCTTGGGCGTCCGGAGCCTGGCTCCTTCCTCTCCCATCTGTGCGGGAGGGGTTGTGAACAGAAGACCCCTGCCCCGGGGTTCCTGCCCCGGGGGTGTTCGGGAGGCTGAGCGCGGGGATGGGGGAGCCTGGCCTGGGCACTGCTTTGCACCTGGCCCTGAAGGGACCGGCATGGTCGGCATGGTCGCTGGGACAGTCAGGGGTCCCAGTGTGAGATGAGCCGGCCCCCCGGGGGTTTCAGTCCCATGCTGGCGGCTCCAAGCCCCTCTCCCCATCTGTCACCGCCGAGGGCGGGATGGGAGTGAAGCGGCAGATGACGGGCAGCAGGCGCCAGCGACGCTGGGGAATCTGCAACCTTCAGGCTGGACGCCTGGTAGGGAGAAACACCCGTCAGAGAGGCCCAGGCCCAAGCCAAAGTCCCGGGCACGCGTCCTTGCGAACCAGAAGCTCGTGGCCACAGGTTCAGTATTTTTAGTTAATTGTCAACTTTTAAAAGGCCTAGATTTACATAGGAAAATTGCTTGTCTTGCAAACTTACACCTGGCTGCCAGAGCCTACTGCAGTGTGGCCACAGTCCCCACCCAGCCCACAGGCCCCACGCAAGCTGCCTGCCAGCCCACATGGGCGCTACCCTGGGCGGACACGGAATGCTGAGTGCTCGTCTTCTTCCTAGGGAGGCTCCTGTGGCCGGGGCACAGCCCTCAGGGGTGGCAGTGACTGTGAACTTGTCGTCTTTCTCGACTGCTTCAAGAGCTTTGAAGACCAGAGGGCCGGCCGGGCGGAGGTCCTCCGGGAGCTGCAGGCGCTGCTGGACGCCTGGGGGCGGGAGCCGGGGCCGGGTCTGAAGCTGGAGTCCCCCGTGCAGGCCACGGGTGGGCTCTTGCGGTTCCGACTGGCAGCCGTTGACCTTGAGAACTGGATGGACGTCAGCCTGGTTCCTGCCTTCGATGCGCTGGGTGAGTGGGGTCCCCGGCCCAGCGCAGGGTTAGGAGCGAGCTCTTTGGGAGCAAGACTGGGCTTCCGATTCCGGCCCTGCCACCCACCTGCCGGGGGAGAGAAGGCCAAGCCGCTAGGCCCCTGTGCGCCTCTGTGGATTGGGTTTGGACCAGGTAGAGGCCAAGAGGACCCAGTGCTTCCCGGATCCGTGGGCCGAGCATCAGCATCAGGGCTTCGGCAGCCAGGGATGCAGCGAAGACCCAGGAGACTGTCGCACGGCCAGTGGCAGGGGACAAGGCCAGAATCTGGCCAGACCTGTCTTTTATCTCAAAACATCCATGGGACTGTGGCATTCTCATAATACGCCTGTGCTGGAGCTAATGTCTTCTCAGCATACGTCGTTACGTGCCACCCATCAAAGGAGGGTAGACAGCAGCGGAGTGGACGTCTGTCTTGTGGTTTCCGGATCGAGCCGCGCTCATATGCGGAATGGGTCTGGAATCGCTGGCGCGTGATACGGGTCATTTTGAGTGCTTGCTGTTATTTTTTTATTTCTGGCTTTTACTTAATGATTTATTTGAAGGCGAGTGAGAGAGATTCCCCCTTTCTCTTGTTCTGTCCCCAAATTCCTGCAACATCTGGGGCTGGGCCAGGTCCAAGAGAAGAGCCCAGAGCTCAGTCCAGGTCTCCTGGGTGGGTGCCAAGGACCCAGGTTCGTGAGCCGCCACCTGCTGCCTCCCAGGGTGCTCAGTGATAGGAAGCTGGAATTGGAGGCAGAGCCGGGACTTGAACCCAGGCACTCGGTATGGGGTGCGGGCGTCCTAACCACTGAACCTCCGTCACTGCGCTTCACTCTGATGCTCTCGGGGCTAGCCACACTCCCCAGGCCTGCCACACCTCCCGGGGCCATCAGAGCAGCCGCCGGGAACCGTGTAGCCCTCATCCACAGTGCGGAGGCCCGGAAGTGGTTCAGCTGTCTGGTTTTGTTCAGATTGGGAATATTTGCCCAGACATAATGAGACACCTTAGGGATGAGACCCAAGTCTAGACACAAAACCCAGCCGGCTCCGGGCGCACACATGCCGGCCGCCTGACCCCGGGGCAGAGGGCGGGACTTGCTGTGCCTCGGCTTCCTCACCTGTGCAATGGGATGAGGAACTGTGTCTGCCTCTTGATTGTGGTGGGGTGGAGCGAGAGCATCCCGGTGAGCCTGCAGCACAGCTAAGCTAGCAGCTAGGGCTCCAGAGGTGCGTGGTGGCGAGGGCGCGGCGCCCGGCCGTCCTTGTCCTCTCCCTGGTACCGGGTATGGGAGGCTCCAGTGGAAGGAAGATTTCCCAGGGCTCAGGGCTGCCGGTGTAGCCCTTGGGGTCAGCCTAGCCGCAGAAAGCGAGGGACCCTCCCACTGCACTCAGGGGTGCGGCTCTTCCTCCCAGCTCCCCCGCCTCCCGGGACTCGCCCCCTCTCGCCCACACCGGCACTGCCCTCCCCAACTCCCAGCTCTTCCCACCGGCAGGGCAGCTCGGAGCTGGCGCCAAACCCGAGCCCCAGGTCTACTCCGCCCTCCTGGGCGGCGGCTGCCAGGGGGGCGAGCACTCGGCCTGCTTCGCGGAGCTGCGCCGGAGCTTCGTGAACATGCGCCCGGCCAAGCTGAAGAACCTCATCCTGCTCGTCAAACACTGGTACCGCCAGGTAACAGCACTGGGGAGGGGCTGGGGAGGGGTCTACGGCTGCTTTGGTGGTGCTCCTGGACCGGTGGCTATATTTCCTAATTCTCAGTGGCCACTCACATCCTCGCCCCAGGAACTACCTGTTCACGTCCTTGGCCACGGTTGTTTTCCTGAGCGTTATCTTCATGTTGATTTGTCGAAGCTCTTTATATATTGGAGTGCAAATTCTTATTCCGTTTACGTAATGCAAATGTTTTTCTCCACGTCTGTGGCTTGTATGGTGGCTTTGTTTAAAAGTCATTGTGCTTCCTGCTAACGTGTATCCTGGGAGGCAGCCAGTGGTGGGTCAGGGGCTTGGGTCCTCGTCACCCACCTGGGGGACTCAGACTGGGAGCTGGGCTCCTGGCTTCAGCCTGGCCCAGACCCAGCTGTTGTGGACATTCGCGGAACGTTCTAGCAATGGAAGATCTCTCTGGCTGTCTCTCTCTCTCTCTCCTTTTCAAATCAATTAAAAATAAATCAAAGTCATTTGTCACAGAACCTGTTTGAATTTTACTGTAACCAACTATATGACTGTTTTCTTAAGTGATTTGTTCTTTATGTATCTTTTTAAAAAGATTTATTTATTTGAAAGGCAGAGTGACAAAGAGAGAGGGAGAGGCAGTGGCAGGGCCTGGGGCAGGCTGAAGCCAGGAGCCTGGAACTCCAGCCGGGTCTCCCACATGGGTAGCAGGGGCCCAAGCACTTGGGCTACCGTCTGCTGCTTGCCCGGGAGCATTAGTAGGGAGCTGGATGGGAGGGGGAGCAGCCGGGACTGGAACCAGCACTCGGGCAGATATGGGATGCTGGTGTCGCGGGCAGTAGCGTAACCTCTTTGTGTATCTTAACAAGTCTTTCCCTTCCCTGAGTTTTGAAAGCAATTCTCCCATGTTTCCTTCTGAAAGCTTGCTTTTCATAGGGGCAGGGCTCTGGCCTGTCTGGGATGTTTTATGTCTGGTCGGAGGCCCTGGGGAGTGTGCACAGCTTGTGCCGGAGATGGGGGCGTCTCGGGCCCCTGGGTGGGTCCTCCCATTGGAGCACGGTTGGTGAGAAATCCTGGCTGAGCCACTGGTGCCGGGTGACCCAGGGCAAGCTCCTGACCTGCCCTGCGCCCCTGGACTTAGACGCGGGTGGGAGTCTCCACGTCCAGCCCAGGCCCTTATGTGAACACGGGTCTCCAGGCTTCGGGGAATGTTAATAGCCAAGAGCTTGATTTTAACTACAGGGGCCGGTGTTGTGTTGCACAGGGTTAGAGCACACATCAACTCCAGCATCCCACAGGAGTATCAGTTCAAGTTCACTTCCAAACCAGCTGCCTGCTGATGCGCCTGGGAAAACAGCAGACGGCCCAAGTCCTTGGGTCCCTGCACCCACATGGGAGACCCGGATGGAGTTCCAGGCTCCTGGCTTCAGCCTGGCCCAGCCCCGGCTATGGGGGCCATTTGGGGAATGAAGCAGCAGATGGAAGCTCTCTCTCTCTTTCTCTGTAACTATGCCTTTCAAATACGTAAATAAATCTCTTTTTTTTTTTGACAGGCAGAGTGGACAGTGAGAGAGACAGAGAGGGTCTTCCTTTTCCATTGGTTCACCCCCCAGTGGCCGCCACGGCTGGCGCGCTACGGCCAGTGCACCACGCTGATCCGAAGCCAGGAGCCAGGTGCTTCTCCTGGTCTCCCATGTGGGTGCAGGGCCCAAGGACCTGGGTCATCCTCCACTGCCCTTCCAGGCCACATCAGAGAGCTGGACTGGAAGAAGAGCAACCGGAACAGAATCTGGTGCCCCGACCGGGACTAGAACCCCGGGGTGCCAGAGCCGCAGGTGGAGGATTAGCCTATTGAGCCGCGGTGCCAGCCCATAAATAAATCTTAAAAAATAAAGAAAGCAAAGGCCAACCATACTCTGCCTTGGTCAGGTGTTGGTGCATCTGTGCACCGGGCTTGCTGGATTCCCCAAGGAGGGGACAAGTGGAGGCAGTGGTGCTGCCGGACGCCCTCCAGCCAGCGGGGCCCCTACAGGCAATGTCCCCTTCCAAGTTGCCCTGCTCACCCAAGACCTAAGGGGCAGAGAGACAGCCCCTCCCTGGCCCATGGAGATCCCAGTATAGGGTGCAGAGAAGTGGGGGTGTTGGGGACAGGCAGAGACATCTGCCCCTGCTGCAGGTGGAAGCTTGAGTACCGGTGCCCTTCTCATTGGGTACCAGGCTGTTGTCTCCTCCAATCAACCGTCTGCTGGAAGCCCACACTTGCCGCACCTGCATGTGGGGGATGGGTAGCAGCTTCAGATCCCTGCTGTCTTCTCTCCGCCTGCCTGCCAGGTGCTGGAAACTCATAGCTTTTTCTGCCACTGCAGCCGGCAGCAGCGAGGGCAGGGAGAGAGGCCAGGTGCCTTGGGAATACAGGGCCTGTCCCTGGGGAGCTGACTGGGTGCTCCCTTCTCTTCCCGCCTCTCTGAGCCTCTGGCCCCGCCCTTTTCCAGGTGTGCCCGAAGGAGGCTGGGGAGGGGACGCTGCCCCCGGCCTACGCCCTGGAGCTGCTGACCATCTTTGCCTGGGAACAGGGCTGTGGGAAGGACGCCTTCAGCCTGGCCCAGGGCCTCCGCACCGTGCTGGGCCTCATCCAAAGCTATCAGCAGCTGTGTGTTTTCTGGACCGTCAACTACGGCTTTGAGGACCCTGCTGTCAGCCAGTTCTTGCGGGGACAGCTTAAGAGACCCAGGTACATGCTAAGATGCCACCGGCCGCTCTCCTGCGCCTGGGCCATGGGTGACAGGGCGCTCACAACCGTGGCGTAGGTGATGCCAGCACAGGGCTTGGGTGTGGGCCAACACTGCACGTGCATCCTCGGATTTGTGGGGTGTGGCACCTGGGAGATTCTGCTAAAAGTCACCAGCGTGGGGCCGGCCCTGTGGTGCAGCAGGTAAAGCCACCATGGTGATGCCAGCATCCCATACGGGCACCGGTTCCTGGCACTGGCTGCTCCGCTTCTGATCCAGCTCCCTGCTAATGCACCTGGGAAGGCAGCGGAACATGGCCCACGTGCATGGGCCCCTGCATCCACGAGGGAGTCCTGGATGGAGCTCCTGGCTCCTGGCTCCCGACTGGCTCAGCCCTGACTGTTGCAACCATCTGGGGGTGGAAGATCTCTCTCTCCCCTCTCCCCCTCCCTCTCTCTCTGGAACTCTGCCTTCCAAATAGAGTAGCCTGGGGCCTGCCCAGCCCCCCAGGTCTTATGCGTGGGCATTTCCTGCTGTACGAGATGCACTTGCAAGTGGCATGCTGCATTCCAGTGAGGCCCCCACCAGAGGAGCACCCTGAGCAGTGCCCCAAGTCGCTCTCCGCATCAGCTCTGCCCCTCCTGAGATCTCCCTTCAGCACGGGCTTGCCTGCCGCTGACTTCCTTCTCAAATCGAGTCCTGGGGATCTGGGTGTGCACCTGTGCGTGCAGCTGGCTCCTGCCTCTTCAGTGCTGTATCGTATTCCACTGAGCAAGCTCGCCCCACTGTCTTCCGTCCTGTCACCGGCGGACGCTGCGTTGTCTCCAGCTTGGAGGGACTGCGGACACAGCTCTTTCAGCCTTGCTTGTGTTTTTTGGTGCACACATGCACCTGCTGCCTATATGAGGGGTGTTCAGGAAACTCATGGGAAATATGTGTTATAAAAAACTATGCATGGATTTTGAATTTTTTGCCCAAAATGAGCTTCTCTCTCTCTCTCTCTTTAAAGATTTATTTATTTGAAAGGCAGAGTTACAGAGAGAGAAGAGACAGAGAGAGAGGGAGGGAGGGAGGGAGAGAGAGAGAGAGCGAGCTTCCATCTGCATTTTCAGTCCCCAAATGGCTGCAACGGCCAGAGCTTGGCCAGACCAGAGCCAGGAGCTTCATCCAGGTCCCCCATGTGGGTGGCAGGGGCCCAAGCACTCAGGCCATCTGCTGCTGCTCTCCCAGGCAGATTAAGAGGGAACTGGATCGGAAGTAGAGCAGCCAGGACTGGTGCCTGTATGGGATGCTGGCACTGCAGGCGGCAGCTTGCCCGTGATGCCACGGCACGGGCTGTAAGCTTATTTTTTAATTCCATTTCCACAAAGCTTTTGAAGTACCCTGGTATAGTTAGAAATATAATTGCTAAGTCACTGGCTGTGACCCAGGGTCCCCAGCGTCTAGTGCAGCCAAGGTCAACACCACGGCTCCAAGTTAATGTCTACAGCAGCCCTCCAGAGCGGCAGTTGTCCTTTTCCTCATTTTGCTCAGAGAAGGCAAGCCTCCTCCCCCAGGGCACACAGCTCGGAGGCAGCGGAGTCGGGACGGGAGCCCCCGTCTTGACCCTCCGGCCAACATCCTTGTCCCTCTGGGCTTGCAGGCCTGTCATCCTGGACCCGGCTGACCCCACGTGGGATGTGGGTAACGGGACGACCTGGCACTGGGAGGTGCTGGCCCTGGAGGCCGAGTCCTGCTACCACCACCCGTGCTTTCTGCAGGGGACCGGGGACCCTGTGCAGCCCTGGGAAGGGCCGGTGAGCGGGGGCTCCCTGGTGCTCAGCGGAGTGGAGTGGGATGGGGGTGGGGGGGCCGCAGGCGGGTCTGACTGAGCCCCAGCTGACTGCTCGGAGGACGGAGCACCCGCGTCTTCGGGCAGTCTCCTGCTTCCCTAGGAAGGCACCTGTCCCTGATCCCCATGAAGGTGCCCCGTGGGCCGGCCGTGGCCTGACTGCGCCCAGGGAAGGGCCAGGCAGGGAACAGGCAGACCTGGAGACCTCTGCCCCTGAGTGACCCAACGCCTCCCGCCACCACCCAGGGCCTTCCACGTGCCGGGGGCTCCGATTTGGGCCACCCCATCCAGCGCGACCCTGGCCAGGGGACCCCCGAGGACGGCGAGAGACTCGACGCCATGCACCCGGGGCCCCCCCGCCCAGCTCCGGGCCCCTCAGAGGCAGCCCCGGGTCCCAGTCCGAGTCCGAGTCCAGCGGGGCTGGCCATGGACCTGGCTCAGATCCCCTCCAAGGAGCTGGACCGCTTCATCCAGGAGCACCTGAAGCCGAGCCCGCGATTCCAGGAGCAGGTGAAGAAGGCCATCGACGCCATCTTGTGCTGCCTCCGGGAGAAGTGTGCCCACAAGGTCTCGAGAGTGAGCAAGGTGGGTGGGGCAGGGCCGCGCCGGTGGGCCCAGGGCGGAAGCCCGGCGGGAGGGGCTGCCACAGCACCAGTCGGCGGCCGGGAGCCTTGGAGATGGCTCCTGACTTGGGGTGCACGTCCATCCCAGCCACAGCTCAAAACCCCGCCGCCTGGCCTCGCTCCCACACCCCGCTTGCCTGCAGCTGGGCACGATCTAGGTCTTTATTGAGGCCCCAGTAATTCACTGTGCACTCAGCTAGAGTGAAAAACAGCCAGTCTCCTGTCTGCCATTCTGAAATCCCAGTATGGTTGAGTCGGGCACCAGGTGTGTACGTAAGCCCCAGGCTTTTGTAATGGCTTTTTAAAGCCCTTGTCACAAGAACGAGAGCCGTCCTGTCCCCGGGTCACACGGTGACCTCCAGGCCTGTTGGCTGTGGCCCTGGGCACCCCGCACCCCTCACCAGCCCCTGGCTGCTCTGAACACCGCCTCAATCAAGGCCTCCTGTCTGGCTGTCTTCTCTTTCTGGAATGTTCTTCCTCCACCCACTCAGCTCTCTCCCTCCCCTCCTTCAAGCCCCTTCTCACAATCTGTAGTCGCCATCTCTGTGGCCCTCCCGGGCCCCTGGCCTGCTCTGTGTGCCTCTGCAAACACTCAGCATTGTTCTTTGGCCGGCCCTGCCTGCCTTCCACCAGCGAGGAGGTAAGTGGAAACCTCTTGGCCACTCACGCGTATCGTGGCTCGGCCGCCCGTCCGGTGATTCATTCGCGCGGCAGATATTCAAGTGCTCAGTAAACGTTTGATGCATCAGTGAATCAACCGTGGGTGGCTCCACCAAGACAGGCCGGCAGAGCACACCTGCGGGCCCGCTCGGCTGCGGCTTCCCTCTGTAGCGGCCGCACACATCTGGCCGCACACATCTGCCCCAGGTGCCGTGGATCGTCGCGCAGGTGCAGGCAGGCACAACCCGACCCACTGACAGGTGTCCGAGAGCCTGCAGGTGGGGCGCAGTCGAGGGGCTCCCAGGCTGAGCCCTGGCCTGGCCCCGAGGGTCAGCAGGCTGAGCCACGCTTCCTTCCACAGGGGGGCTCATTTGGCCGGGGAACAGACCTCAGGGGTGGCTGTGACGTGGAACTCGTCATCTTCCTCCACTGCTTCACTGACTTCACGGCGCAGGGCCCCAGCCGCGCAGAGGTGCTTGCGGGGATGCGGACCCAGCTGGAGTCCTGGTGCCGGGAGCCGGGGCCCGGCCTGACCCTGAAGTTCCCCGCGCAGGATGGTGCCAAGGCTTTGCGGTGCCGGCTGGAGTCCTCGACCCTAGAAGGCTGTGTGGACATTAGCCTGCTGCCCGCCTTCGATGCCGTGGGTAAGGGTGCCCAGGCCCCACGGGGCAGGGAGCGTGTAAGGGGGGAGGGGCTGCATCCTCTCTGTGGTCCTAAGCCTCCTGCTTGACCAAGCACTGAACACGATGTAGAAGAATCGAAATCATCACCACCAAATCTTAGCACAATTTCATGCTTTTAACTTTACAAAGATCCAAACTATGAAGTGTTTCAAGCATCACACACCCATGTATCCCAGTGAAGGTTTCTTTTTTTTTTTACATGTTAATAGTTCATCGTATCTACCTGGAAGATTTTCAGAGAATTTTTATATGATAATTTCCTCCCTTAGTTTAGGGGGTTTGCACCAGGAATGACTTCCCACCTCATGGAAGTGAATCCTAGCTCAGCAGCCGTCGGTGTTAATAGGCGCAAAGCTGTTGCCACTTTTTTTTTTTTTTTTTTTTGACAGGCAGATTGGACAGTGAGAGAGAGAGAGACAGAGAGAAAGGTCTTCCTTTGCCGTTGGTTCACCCTCCAATGGCCGCCACGGCCGGCGCGCTGAGGCCAGCACACCGTGCTGATCCGATGGCAGGAGCCAGGTACTTCTCCTGGTCTCCCATGGGGTGCAGGGCCCAAGCACCTGGGCCATCCTCCACTGCCTTCCCTGGCCACAGCAGAGAGCTGTCCTGGAAGAGGGGCAACCGGGACAGAATCCGGCACCCCAACTAGGACTAGGACCCCGTGTGCCAGCGCCGCAAGGTGGAGGATTAGCCTAGTGAGCCATGGCGCTGGCCCATCTTCTGTGTTTTTAATATGGGATCTGGCACCACAGGTGGTTTCACTCTGTGAAAATTCATCAAGTTGGCTGGGCCTGCAATTAACTAGACTAATCCTCCGCACTGCGGCACCAGATTCTGTGACCAGTTACCCCTCTTCTGGTCTAGCTCGCTGCAGTGGCCCGAAAGGATGGTCCGGAATGCCCCTCAGTTACGCTGCCCGACCGCAGCTGCGAGCTCTTGAGGATCCATCTCACTCTTCCCCTGTATAATCGGTGCCAGCGACGCCCACAGCTTGTTCAAGGATGTGACCCAGATGAGGTCTACAGTCTCCTTAAACCCTAGCGCGCCATTCGCTGCGTGCTCCTACCACAGGGTCTTGGTGCCAAACTAAGGGGCGAGTCTAGGTTGCTACATAGTAGGAAGGAAAATTCCCAACATCTATCGCTTAAT